GAGGAGAGGAGGGTTGAGGAGGCAGAATCAGGAGATTGGAGGGGGAGAAGGATTGAGCAGAGGGAAGAGATGATAGGATGGAAGAGGAGAGAGTAGCGGGAGAGAGAGAGCGAAGGTTACGACGGTGCATTACCATCTGAGTAGGGGCAGAGTGAGTAGTGTTGGAGGAGAGCGAGAGAGAAATGGATACAAAGTAGTGGTCGGAGACTTGGAGGGGAGTTGCAGTGAGATTAGTAGAAGAACAGCATCTAGTAAAGATGAGGTCAAGCGTATTGCCTGCCTTTTGAGTAGGGGGGGACGGTGAGAGGGTGAGGTCAAAAGAGGAGAGGAGTGGAAAGAAGGAGGCAGAGAGAAATGAGTCAAAGGTAGACGTAGGGAGGTTAAAGTCACCCAGAACTGTGAGGGGTGAGCCATCCTCAGGAAAGGAACTTATCAAGTTGTCAAGCTCATTGATGAACTCTCCATGGGAACCTGGAGGGCGATAAATGATAAGGATGTTAAGCTTGAATGGGCTAGTGACTGTGACAGCATGGAATTCAAATGAGGAGATAGACAGATGGGTCAGGAGAGAAAAGAGAATGTCCACTTGGGAGAGATGAGGATTCCTGTGCCACCACCCCGCTGACCAGATGCTCTCGGGGTATGCGAGAACACATGGTCAGACGAGGAGAGAGCAGTAGGAGTAGCAGTGTTTTCTGTGGTAATCCATGTTTCTGTCAGCGCCAAGAAGTCGAGGGACTTATTTAATCCATTTTAGAATAAGGCTGTAATGTAACAAAATGTGGAAAAAGTCACGGGGTCTAAATACTTTCCGAAGGCACTGTATATACTATTACATTTTGTAACAATAGACTCATTGTGAGGACAGTTTTTTGATGATAGTCCTGTTAATAGTTAATAGGACTAACTGATGATAGGACACAACATATTTCAAATGTTTTTGAAAGGTAAACATGCTGGAGGTTATGGTGCAGAACTTTCCTTTCTGGGTGAACATCGTCTACCCTTTCGAATTCTCCAAAACTTTCCCAGTCTGGAAAAAACACCATGGTTTTGGAGTAGATGCGAGCTTCAACTGGAAGCCAGTGGAGTGTGCGGAGGAGCGGGGTGACATGAGAGAACATGGGAAGGTTGAATACCAGACAGGCTGCAGCGTTCTGGATAAGTTGTAGGGGTTTAATGGCACAGGCAGGGAGCCCAGCCAACATTGAGTTGCAGTAATCCAGACGGGAGATGACAAGTGCCTGGATTAGGACCTGTGCCGCTTTCTGTGTAAGGTAGGCTCGTACTCTGCAAATGTTGTAGAGCATGAACCTGCAGGATCGGGTCACCACTTTGATGTTAGCGGAGAACGACAGGGTGTTGTCCAGGGTCACGCCAAGGTTCTTTGCACTCTGGGAGGAGGACACAATAGAGTTGTCAACCGTGATGGCGAGATCATGGAGCGGGCAGTTCTTCCCCGGGAGGAAGAGCAGCTTCGTCTTGCCGAGGTTCAGCTTGAGGTGGTGATCCGACATCCACACTGGATGCCTGTTTTGCATGTTATTTTGGCATTAATACATGTCACATATCAGTTTGCAAACAATGTAAACAAAAACAAAAAAATACATTGAGTTAATAAAGCTGCATACAAACATGGTCTCGTTTTTGCTTTATTGAGTAAGGCAGCTCCAAAATGCAGGTGTTTCAGCCTAGCTCAGTGCTTTCTGTGGTGGTGGGGCAGCCAGCGGAAAATACGGAGCCTAGTTGTTGGTAATGTTCTCTAGTTGCGCCGTGATTGGCTCAGTGTTCTGTCACTCATGGGGACACTACGTCACCGCCAAGTCTAAGTGTAGATCTCGAAAATTCAAGCCCATTGAGTGCTGCCATAGACTTACATTAGAAGTGCCCATCCAAGAAGGCTCAAGGTCATTGGCCACAGATAAAATGACGTCAAATCACGTTATATCTACACTAGCTTTGATTGGACTGATCATGTCAACATCATACTTTCAAAATCTTAGCTAGCAGTCACCATCATGAATGAAGTCGACAATCTACTGGCAAATCCTCTTTAATCCTTGTCATATGAAGATAAATAATAAATTATACATAACACGTATCGGTGCTCATCGGCCATTGGACATAAACATTACACATCAAGTTGGAAATCGCAAATTCACAATGAGTGGTTTGGAAGGAATCAGTGGCTAACTGCAATCATTGCAAAGCAATCACTAGCCTGATATTCAGTGGAGTGGCTGTGTGGTCCCAAAACTGGGATTAAGGGTCTCTTTTCCAAGTTTAAAATGATAAACATTAAACATTGGCCATGCTGTCAATGAAGCAGGATTTGTGCCGCGCTCAAAACAACTGTTAACTTGGAACTGCGAAATCTGACTTGAGTTCAAGACAACTGGGAACTCAGGCGGAAAAACAAGGTCCGACTGGGAAAATACGTTTTGAATGGCCATCCAACTCTGAATTTTAAATCCAGAACTGGGGCCTCTTTCTAGAGCTACGACCTGAAGATCACTGATGTCATCATGATTCGACCTTGTTTTGTTTCCGAGTTCCCAGTTGTCTTGAAAGCACCATAAATCCAGAGAATGCCAGACTTTGATGACAACTTTTGCCCATGAAGGACCGCCGCGCCACCTTCCTGTTCAAGTGAGCACAGCACAACAAGGTGAGTCCAAAAACATATTGTATGCTGCTACATAAATGATGTAATATGCCAGGGAGATATGTATACTGTAGCTAAGAAAGTAATACTAAGTGTATGTTGTGTAGTACGCTGTTAGTAGCCCATGTGCCTCACCCTAATAATTTGGTCTATTTTCCCGTCTTAATTTCGCCTACTGTTCTGACTTGGTGGTGCACATGGAGCCTATAATCTGTTTTAGAGAAATATAATAATTTAATATTGTAAGAGCTTTCATTGTCTGCTTATATGCCCCCTTTATTTATCCTACGGTTCTGACTTGGTGTACAGGGAGCACACTGTAAGAACGGCCCATATTCTGAATTCTGAGTGTACATTTCAAAAGTGATGAACAAATCGTTATATTGACTACCTCAGTCCTAGCTCGCTCATTAATGTCTTAATCGAAATTACGGATTGCCTCTCATCCGCTTGTCGTCCCCTTATGCCATAGTTTGTACATTTCAATTGTCAGTAGAAATCACATCTGTTTAAGCAAGTCAGCCATATCAGCTATGTTTTTTTAAAGGTAGTAAATTAGGCTGAATTAACTGTTTTGCTGCCAGACAAGGCTGTTGGGACTCTGCTGTTGCGACAACTTTATGGAGGCCCTAACAGTTTGTGGTCACCGTTATAGTGCAATTATTGTTGTGTTGTGTAGTGGCTTTGCTGGCATGCATCCCGCATTAATTTTTTATTTTTGCCCCACCAAGATTTAGATGCTAAAATCGCCACTGATGTTTACTATGTTACGTCTATCCGTCAGTACTTATCACAAGGGAGCATGCTGTTGGGGGCACTGAGCTATACATATTTGGGTTGGAGGACTGCATTGAGTTATATGAGGGAAGGGCCTTCAAATGTGGTGAAATCAACAGTTTCGTCGTCATTATGATTGCCAGTGTGTACAAATACTAAAATTAATCAGAGAAGGTGGATTTGTCCAATGGGTGACAGGGGAGGGCGGGGATAACCAAAAAGTCGTGTAGACAGTTCACGCAAAAAGAGGTTTAGAAACTGGTTCAAGTTTTGGCTACAGAAAAATAATATTGTCTGAGAGACCGTTCGAGAGGTAGCGAAGCAATTTTACAGTCGTCCATCTGATAGCTAACTAATAATTGTTGTTGTGTGGTATGATATGTAATCGATATGTCTATTTCTGGATTGAGTCCATGTTGTATTTAGCCTAGTTAGCAACATACAAAAAGCTAGCTAGCTAAGGTTAGCGCGAGTGTATCAAAACGTGCTTAGCTAGCTAGTCGCTTTATAAATAATATAATATGTTTAGCTAGTTTCTACTGACTAACTCTTATAATAAGAGTCTTATTTATTTTTGTTTTTCCTTAGACACCCCAACTCTGACGGCGTCCCGAATGTTTTCACAATAGGGGCAAGAATCTGCTAGATCATTTATCACCTCCGAAATTCTGCCACCTTGCATCCTTGAATTACAATTTCAGCAACACACCAGCTATTGGTAGCAGTAGAACTAGGCAACACTTCACTGTGCCTCTTGGACAACCATCGTTGTTTATGTCTTTGTTTTACGAAAACGGTGAGTGCATCATAATGACCAGCTATAGAAATATGAAGGTGCTGTCGTAAATATATACGCTTTGTTTTGTCGTATGTATATTTTGCTGTAGATACTTTTATAATCAAATTCGTGGCGTAGTTATGTCTTTGCTAAGTAAGAATATCAAAATGGCGTCTCCCATCACTCGTGCCATCTGATAAATCATGACGCACTCTGCAGCGCTAGCTAGCTTCATCAGTCAGGCTTCCCGGTTGCTAATCAACCCGACCTCGTTTGTAAGTGGTTTGTATATCGAAGTGAAAGAATGCGTGTACCTAGATGTATGAACGTTAGACACATTTGCTGCGTTTTAGCTCACGGTAAAGCAAGATAAGTTGGCTATCTAACGTTAGTTAGTGCATACTTGCAAGCGCCACCAACTGAGCCACACGGGGTCTTGTGTCGTAATTGAGTTTGACAATGTCAGTGGCGACATTTCACGAGAGCAACACAAACTTTGGACACATTGGGTAGCTAACTAGCAACATACCCAACAACTATACATACAGGTTGTAACTAAAAGTTCAAGTCAGATAATTATATAGGCTACTTAGGTATTCATTTACATTTTACTCATTTAGCAGACGCTCTTATCCAGAGCAACTTACAGTTAGTGAGTGCATACATTTTTCATACTGGCCCCCCGTGGGAATCGAACCCACAACCCTGGCGTTGCAAGCGCCATGCTCTACCAACTGAGCTACAGCCATTGCCATCTAGGAAGTTATCAATATCTGTGGAACTAGAGTTGATGTCCATGCCTTTCTCCCCTCTTTTCAGAGCTGTTGCGCAGCTGTTGGAACCTGTGTGGAGGAAACCTAGTCTACGATCAAGGAGCTTGCGGCCACAGTGGCAAAATATTTTTCATGTCAGAGGCTGAGCACGCTTGTAGTCGTTTATGTCATCCCCTCTTTTCCAGACAGAAGATCCCAAAAAATCCCCATTCAAGATCTTTTTATCTTACTGATAGTGCTAGTGGCCAGTCAAAATGTCTGTCAACGTCAACCGCAGTGTGGCAGACCAGTTCTATCGCTACAAGATGCCCCGTCTGATTGCTAAGGTGATTATCTGGTATAATATTGTCATGATCCTGTCAGGAAAATGGCATCGTCATTCAACATTCTTGATATTTGCGTCCTTGGTCAGTTGTATGTTTTCCAATGAAATGTGCAGGCCTCAATGGTGATCCATATGCAAAATGATTCTGCTAAGTTATTTATGGTTTTTGTGGTCTGATTTGTGTCCAGGTTGAGGGCAAAGGAAATGGAATCAAGACAGTCATTGTCAACATGACTGATGTTGCAAAGGCACTGAGTAGGCCTCCAACATGTAAGTTGACCTCCCCACTACCATAATGTTGTTGATTCTAAAATGGTTACGTTGACTTGCACCATACATTGATAATGTTACCTTCACTTGACTAAATGTTAGGTAGCTGTTGTGTGCATAACCATCCATTAGCTTAGTGGATGTTGATTGCGACTCATATGCTCTTTGCAGATCCGACCAAGTTTTTTGGTTGTGAGCTTGGTGCGCAGACCCAGTTTGATGCAAAGAATGACCGCTTCATCGTCAACGGATCCCATGAGGCGAACAAGTTGCAGGAGATGCTTGATGTATTTATCCGTAAATTTGTGCTGTGTCCTGAGTGTGATAACCCTGAAACCGATTTGGTAAATATTTGATGAACATATTTGTCCTTTGTGGTGGGCGTTTGGGTAGTGTTGTCAAGAGCGGGACAGGAATGAAATTTGTTGAATGGAATTTGACCGTTTTATACCAAAGCCACAGATGTTGGTCAATTATTTTCCTGGTAGTGTTTCTTCCTTTTTTTTATCATGTCTTTTAATTCACTCCGTGTTTAGTGATTTATCAAGTTCTGTTTGATGTCCTTCCTGAGGCGTGTAGATATAATAAAGACCTGGTCATGTTTTTATATATAACTTGTTCTCAACTGGCTTACCTGGTTAAATAAATATATAGATTTATTTGACATCCTGCCAACCTTGATTTGTGCCATATCTGCCATTTTGGGTCCTACTTGTGAATGCCCCAGCCATTCGGGATCTCATCTGCTACATCATACACTGCAGTGAGAGATCAAGTGGCTTTTTCTCCAGCAATGCAGTTATGGTCTGTTTTGGGGACATGATTGCTTGTCTATCATGGGTGGTATAAAGAGTGATTATGCTAATAATTTGGTTGACCTTTCATTGCAGCATATCAATCCTAAGAAACAAACCATTGGTAACTCCTGTAAGGCCTGTGGGTACCGTGGCATGCTAGACACTCGACACAAGCTCTGCACGTTTATCCTCAAAAACCCACCAGGTAAGCACATAATAAGAATTTGCCCAGGACCAGTTTGTTTTTCTTACTGATCGAAAAGTCATGTCTGATATGTGGCCTGTTGCGTGACAAAGCACCGGTGGCTTTTTCAACAGAAAATGAACCTGGATCTGTGAAGGAGAAAAAAGAGAAGAAGAACCGTAAGAAGGACAAGGAGAATGGCTCTGGCAGCGGAGAGGCTGGGAACCATAACGACATAGATGCCCCTGATGCCGTGGTGAGTATCCTCAATAATGTATGCAAGCCATGTCAGTTCCCTTAAGTTCTTAATGCTAGTGGTTGAATAGGGGGAACCAACCTCCCTCACCCCCCTTCAAGCTATTATTGTTCTGAAGGACTAGTCTGTCAGTAACTCAAGCCTGTCTGTCTAGCAGCTATTGATCCTGTGAGAACGTGTTGTGTATCAGGACGGTGATGATGATGACGAGGATTGGGCAGAGGAGACCACGGAGGAGGCACAGAGACGAAGAATGGAGGAGATCAGCGCCCATGCCAAGAACCTGACCCTCAGTGAGGACCTGGAGAAGACCCTGGAGGAGAGGGTCAACATATTCTATAACTTTGTCAAAGTAATTTTAATTTTTTATTTAGCCTTTATTTATACAGGTTTTTCTCATTGAGAGAAAATCTATTTTTCAAGAGAGACCTGGTCCAACAGCAGCAGGGGGAACAAAGTTTCAGACAAAACTACTTACATACACTAACACGACATTGAACAAAACTATAGACACACATACAGTACAACAATTACATATTACGTAACCGCTGTCCTAAAGACAATTACACTCTTCTATGATATTTACATCGATCAAGTGTTTAAACTCCACTAACTTTACTAGATTTTACATTTTAGTCATTTAGCAGACGGTCTTATCCAGAGCGACTTACAGTTAGTGCATACATTTTCATACTGGCCCCCTGTGGGAATCGAACCCACAACCCTGGCGTTGCAAATGCCATGCTCTACCAACTGAGCTACACTGGGCCTAGATCATCAAGTTGTGCCTGAAACCAGTTACAAGGACAATGAAAGTCGGTGATCCATTGTGACATTTTCTCATTGATATAGGGGAACAATGAAAGAGTGAACATTTTATGATGGGGACCTAGAAGTTTTGACTAGCCATAAGTAATTGTTTCTGTTCCACAAACAGAGCTATCTTTGTGTTGCTTGGCTTCTTAGGGGCTATTTTGAAGATCATGGTGTTAAAAGCTTTCTTGCTGTGGTTACTTTCCCCATCTCCAGCAAAAAAGGGATGATGGCGCTATTGATGCAGCAGATAAGGAGATCTTGGCGGAGGCAGAGCGTCTGGATGTGACAGCCATGGGGCCTCTGATCCTGAGCGAACTACTGTTTGACGAAAACATCCGTGACCAGATAAAGAAATACAAACGCCATTTTCTTCGCGTGAGTCTTCAATCCCCTATTGTTACATTTGACCTCTGTCATAACCTCTTACCACTGTGGTAATGTGTTCAAGAGGGGACAAAGTTGACCAAAACCTTCCCAAATTGATTGTGGTTTTGTTACTTCTCCTCTTGTCTTCAGTTCTGTGTGAATAACAAGAAGGCCCAGAAATACCTCCTGGGAGGCTTTGAGTGCCTGGTAAAGCTGCACCAAGCCCAGCTGCTGCCCCGTGTGCCTGTCGTATTCAAAGACCTGTATGATGCGGATCTAGTGGAGGAGGATGTCATACTGTCCTGGGCAGAGAAGGTGTGTGGTTAAACTTGTACACGCTCTCACACAAGGTTCAATACAGCTGTATGTCAGACTGATTACCTTAATACCTAGTTTCTTGTAAAATAAAGCATTTTGTCCTCATTAAAATGTATCAGTGTTTGCTCCTTCTCTGTGAGTGTTATTGCTCATGACTTTATAACTTTCAGGTGTCCAAGAAGTATGTCTCTAAGGAACTTGCCAAAGAGATCCATGCGAAGGCAGCTCCTTTCATCAAGTGGCTGAAGGAGGCGGAGGAAGAGAGTGAGGGCAGTGAGGCAGAGGAGGATGATGAAAATGTGGAGGTACTGATCAGACTGTCCACTGATATATTTTCATAGCTTGCACAGTTTATACACTGTGGTTTGAGTTGGGCTACTAGGATATGCTTAGTGAAAATTGCAACTAATGCAAGACCTACTAAAAGTAATTCCGCTACCCAAGAATAGTAAAGCCCCCTTTACTGGCTCAAATAGCTGACCAGATAAAAAAAAAAAAAAAAAAATACACCTTATGGAACAGCGGGGACTGTGAAGAGACACACACACACACACACACACACACAGGCACGGACACATACGCATAAGACACGCACTCTACACACGTACACATGGATGTTGTATTGTAAATATGTGATGGTGGAGTAGTGGCCTGAGGGAACACACTACATTTATTGGGTAAAGTGTTATGAAATGTCATGTAATATTTTAAATTGTATATAACTGCCTTAATGTTGTAGGACCCCAGGAAGAGTAAGGGGATCCTTAATAAATATGAATAGAATTGAATCAATTTTGAAATTGAAAGAAATCTGAAAGTTTTTGTTTTGACGCCAGTATATGCACAACTAAACACTCTTTATTTCCCCTCCTGCTCTCAGGTTGTATATGATTCTTCTGCTCGGGAACTGAAAGTGGAGACCGTAAAACCGGACAAGCCTGACGAGGAAGAGGATGACTTTGATATTGATGCAATTTAAACGAGACCATTTTGAGAAGTAGCTTTGAATCACATTTTCTCATCCTGCCAAATCGCCAGCCCTACTCACCCTTTTCCCACAACATCACTGCTTTTGTTAACATAGCGCTATTACTCACTGCACATTAACTCTGTAATTTAAACATATTTGATCTATGTGATATGGGTGTATTTTGGGGATTTTAATCTTGGTTTTGTGGGATTTACTTGACTGCACATTAATTATTAAAATGTATTTTTCCAGTCATTAAAGAATGTTTTGCTATCCACAGCTGTTGTATGTTTGTTTTTTATTTATTTTACCTTTTATTTAACCAGGTAAACCAGTTGAGAACAAGTTCTCATTTACAACTGCGACCTGGCCAAGATAAAGCAAAGCAGTGCGATAAAAACAACAACACAGAGTTACATATGGGGTAAAACAAAACAAAGTCAAAAATACAACATAAATACATATATATACAGTGTGTGCAAATGTAGCAAGTTATGGAGGTAAGGCAATAAATAGGCTATAGTGCAAAATAATTACAATTAGTATTAACACTGGAATGATAGATGTGCAAGAGATGATGTGCAAATAGAGATACTGGGGTACAAATGAGCAAAATAAATAACAATATAGGGATGAGGTAGTTGGGCGGGCTAATTTCAGATGGGCTGTGTACCGGTGCAGTGATCGGTAAGGTGCTCTGACAACTGATGCTTAAAGTTAGTGAGGGAGATAATTGTCTCCAGCTTCAGAGATTTTTGCAATTTGTTCCAGTCATTGGCAGCAGAGAACTGGAAGGAATGGCGGCCAAAGGAGGTGTTGGCTTTGGGGATGACCAGTGAGATATACCTGCTGGAGCGCATACTATGGGTGGGTGTTGCTATGGTGACCAATGAGCTAAGATAAGGCGGGGATTTGCCTAGCAGTGATTTATAGATGGCCTGGAGCCAGTGGGTTTGGCGACGAATATGTAGTGAGGACCAGCCAACAAGAGCGTACAGGTCACAGTGGTGGGTAGTATATGGGGCTTTGGAGACAAAACGGATGGCACTGTGATAGACTACATCCAATTTGCTGAGTAGAGTGTTGGAGGCTATTTTGTAAATGACATCGCCGAAGTCAAGGATCGGTAGGATAGTCAGTTTTACGAGGGCATGTTTGGCAGCATGAGTGAAGGAGGCTTTGTTGCGAAATAGGAAACTGATTCTAGATTTAACTTTGGTTTTGAGATTCTTAATGTGAGTCTGGAAGGAGAGTTTACAGTCTAACCAGACACCTAGATATTTGTAGTTGTCCACATACTCTAGGTCAGACCCGTCGAGAATAGTGATTCTGGGCGGGTGCAAGCAGCGTTTGGTTGAAGAGCATGCATTTAGTTTTACTAGTGTTTAAGAGCAGTTGGAGGCTACTGAAGGAGTGTTGTATGGCATTGAAGCTCGTTTGGAGGTTTGTTAACACAGTGTCCAATGAAGGGCCAGATGTATACAAAATGGTGTCGTCTGCGTAGAGGTGGATCTGAGAGTCACCAGCAGCAAGAGCGACGTCATTGATATACACAGAGAAAAGAGTCGGCCCAAGAATTGAACCCTGTGGCACCCCCATAGAGACTGCCATAGGTCCAGACAACAGGCCCTCCGATTTGACACATTGAACTCTATCTGAGAAGTAGTTGGTGAACCAGGCGAGGCAGTCATTTGAGAAACCAAGGCTATTTAGTCTGCCAATAAGAATGCGGTGGTTGACAGAGTCGAAAGCCTTGGCCAGGTCAATGAAAACGGCTGCACAGTACTGTCTATTATCGATCGCGGTTATAATATCGTTTAGGACCTTGAGCGTGGCTGAAGTGCACCCATGACCAGCTCGGAAACCGGATTGCATAGCGGAGAAGGTACGGTGGGATTCGAAATGGTCGGTGATCTGTTTGTTGACTTGGCTTTCAAAAACTTTCGAAAGGCAGGGCAGGATGGATATGGGTCTGTAACAGTTTGGATCTAGAGTGTCACCCCCTTTGAAGAGGGGGATGACCGCGGCAGCTTTCCAATCTCTGGGGATCTCAGACGTTACGAAAGAGAGATTGAACAGGCTAGTAATAGGGGTTGCGACAATTTCGGCGGCTAGTTTTAGAAAGAAAGGGTCCAGATTGTCTAGCCCAGATGATTTGTAGGGGTCCAGATTTTGCAGCTCTTTCAGAACATCAGCTGTCTGGATTTGTTTGAAGGAGAAGCGGGGGGGCATGGGCAAGTTGCAGCGGAGGGTGCAGAGCTGGTGGCCGGGGTAGTGGTAGCCGTAGCAAAATGCTTGTTGAAATTCTCGATTATTGTTCAATTTAATCACAGATAAACAAGACCCTTCGGTTAATTGTTAGATGGGACTTGTCTGAGAAGTGATGAACAGTGCATTCGGAAAGTATTCAGACCCTTGACTTTGTCCACATTTTGTTACGTTACAGCCTTACTCTAAAATTGATTAAATTGCCTTTTCCCCTCAATCTGCACACAATACCTCAATGACAGACATTTTAGAAAATGTTATACAAAAATAAAAACCTGATCACATTTAAATAAGTATTCAGACCCTTTACTCAGTACTTTGTTGGAGCACCTTTTGCAGCTATTAAAGCTGCAAGTCTTCTTGGGTATGACGCTACAAGGTTGGCCCACCTGTATTTGGGGAGTTCCTCCCATTCCTCTGCAGATCCTCTCAAGCTCTGTCAGGTTGGATGGGGAGCGTTGCTAAGCTATTTTCAGGTCAACAGAGACGTTAGATTGGGTTCAAGTCTGGGCTCTGGCTGGGTCACTCAAGGACATTGTCCTGTTGGAAGGTAAACCTTCACCCCAGTCTGAGGTTTATCAAGGATCTCTCTGTACTTTGCTCCCTTCATCTTTGCCTCGATCCTGACTAGTCTCCCAGTCCCTACCGCTGAAAAACATCCCCACAGCATGGTGCTGCTTCACTGTAGTGATGGTGCCAGGTTTCCTCCAGATGTGACGCTTGGCATTCAGGCCAAAGAGTTTCATCTTGGTTTCATCAGACCAGAGAATCTTGGTTCTCAGTCTGTAGGTGCCTTTTGGCAAACTCCAAGCAGGCTGTCATGTGCCTTTTACTGAGGAGTGGCTTCCGTCTGGCCACTACCATAAAGGCCTGATTGGTGGAGTGCTGCAGAGATGGTTGTCCTTCTTGAAGGTTCTCCCATCTCCACAGAGGAACTCTGGAGCGCTGTCAGAGTGAACATCGGGTTCTTGGTCACCTCCCTGACTGAGGCCCTTCTCCCCAGATTGCTCAATTTCGAGTCTCATAACAAAGGGTCTGAAGACATGTAAATAAGGTATTTCTGTTTTTTGTAATAATTTTGGAAACATTTCTAAAACAGTTTTTGCTTTGTCATTACGGGGTATTGTGTGTAGATTGTTGAACAAAAATAAATTTAATCCATTTTAGAATAAGTAACTTAACAAAATGTGGAAAAAGTCAAGGTGTCTGAATACTTTCCGAAGGCACTGTATGTGTGAACTGTACATGCCCTCTAGGGATGTCACTCAGCACTCTGCATTGTAGTCTATTGTGTAAGGACAGTGGTCTGAATTTGTGTGTCGAGGCATCCATTTCATAAGGCACCCTTTCATATGAAGTGGATTTGCAAGTTTTGCACATTTTCATCAGCTAACCAGCGCACTATAATACGACACTACAAGTTGAAACATGGTCATTATAGTAGATCTTGCCTCTTACCTTGCATATATACTGACTGTGTCTGTTCTTTCAAGACACAATCAGCTCTAAAGACTCATTTGTTGAAACATGAAACATTGACACATGGATCTCAAGATGCAGTGACTTATCGATTGCAGTGTGAACTTTGTTTATTATTATTAAATTATTATTATTTAAAATTAAAATTAAATTAAACTTTGTGATTTTTCAGAGCCTTGCCGCCTTAAACAATACTTTGTTCATTTGGGAGGTCATTTAAAAAATAAGGAAAAGCTGAGGTGCCCCTTTCAACAATGTACATTCAAGTCGAGTGTGAATACTACCTTTAGAGCACATAAAAGTAGATATCACAATTCTTCAAGATTAAATGATTTGAGAGCAGAGTTAATTTGTGTTCGTAGTTTACCAGCTGCAGCCAATACTGAAGATGCAGTTCTTTTAGATAGTGATGTCATTTCAGATTGTGGGTTTTTAGAAGACAATGAAGATTATGGAGAGTCTATAAAGCATAGACTGGCCTCCTTATTCTTACGAATGCAAACAGTCTTGCATGTCTCAAAGTCTGCCATTCAGGAAATAGTTGATGATCTGCATGAAATTGGCACTCTATCTGGAGATTTCAGCAAGAGGACTATTGAAAATCTGTTAAAACAGCACAATTTAGATACAACCTCCCGAGTGGCGCAGTGGTCTATGGCACTACATCACAGTGCTAGCTGTGCCACTAGAGATCCTGGTTCGAATCCAGGCTTTGTCGTAGCAGGCCGCGACCGGGAGACCCATGGGGCGGCGCACAATTGGCCCAGGGTAGGGGAGGGAATGGCCGGCAGGGATGTAGCTCAGTTGGTGGGTTTGATTCCCACGGGGGGCCAGTATGAAAAAAATTATAATGGATGCACTCACTAACTGTAAGTCGCTCTGGATAAGAGCGTCTGCTAAATGACTAAAATGTAAATGTATTCCCTCTTTGACAAGTCGGCAGACATTGAATACAAAACTATTTTGAAAAAATTAGAGCACATAAAACAGTGGAATTATGACGCTCATCACGGTGACTCCTTATCCCCCCTTATTTTCAGTATATTGCGACAGCCTATCCAGTCATAACAAAGCTACTATTGGAAACAGAAGCGCTGACTCATGGTTTCTGTAGGTAAGGCATTAACTTTATTTCCAATCGGTCATTGTGAATCACTGAGCAGTGACAGTGCTACTACCACTGCCTGTACTGCACTCCAATGAGCGCTAAGGGGCCGCTTGTTTCCTTTCAGACAGTAGTGATGGCATTCCGAGCAGAGTTATTTTCGGTGAGCTGCATCATTTGGCTCCCAAACGGCTCTTCATTTAAAATGCTTGAAAATCGCCCTAGAACCAGGACAGACGTGCACATCTCTAATGTAAAACCAAAAAAGGCGTCTACCATTATGTCAGATCGTGATATGCACGTTCAAATACAGTTATACCTAGCCAAATGATTAGATCGCCTGCATAAAAAAAAAATAGTGGACCAGAATGACGTGCTCTCCGCTATTTATTGTTCAGATAATGATTCCACCTTCAGATAATGATTTTGTAATTTATTTGCAGATAATCGTTGTTTGAAGCTCAAAAAGCAGTAGCACTATGCAAATCAGGGAGCCAAATGAAAAGGCTCTTTCGCCGATGCGATTCGGTTCCCAACGTTCACCAAAAAGAGCCATTCGTTCGTGAACGACCCATCACTATCAGTCAGGACTTGGGCCGATCCAACAGAGCCCGTGAGTGGTAGCCATTTTGCTTCCACCTAAAACACTAGCTTCATTCGGAATCGGAGATGGAAGAAATAGAGCCGACAGCAAGTCCGAAAGCTCAACGCCTTTGAAACCCGGGAACACAGACGGATATCAAGGCACACACGGAAAACGTCACAGAAAATAGCGATTTTGGGAGCGGTGACATCTGAACCTTCCGCCATCCCCTATGAGTAGCCTAGATTGGAGTCGATCAGCCTCTGCTTAGTTCAATTTAACAGGCAATGTATGGGATTTGTTGCAATGTAAAATATAGTTAACATACTTCATTCTCAACATAAAGGACTATAGGGCGAATGCCCTGCTGCCGAGGAGCGTAATAGGGAAATAGATGCCATTGTTCAATTCTGTCTGCGTCCTCGGGACATCTTGAGACAAATTTGGATTGGATGAACCAATGTTGAGACATTTTCCCGAATTCATGGTTTTTGTCCAAAGACAAGAATACAATCGCCTCCCCTCGTATTGCCAAAGGAGGTGCAGATTATAGGGAAATAGGCAACATTCATCTTGAATAAAATGTCATCAAAAACTCCACTACCTACAGTCAATGAGAAAGAGACAGAGAGCGTAAGTAAACTGTTATTATTAGCCAGTTAGAGGTGTGTTGTCTCTGACAATACAAAGTAGGCCTAACCACTTCACTATTTTTGTTACGATGTATCATATGGTTTTGCATACTGGTTACATTGTATCTGAGTGTTCGATACATTGTGCCAGGCGGGAGGCAGGCATGTGTTAGGCAGATAAAAAAAATAAAGTCCTCTTCTGTGCAAGCCCTGGCTGTAATCGCCTATGTTGCCTGATATCACGCCAGATGCTCTGTTTGGTCTGTGGACAGTGGTAAATAGCCATCTCATTTGTATCTCCAGCCAAACCTTACCTGACTGCTTTTCAAAAGTGTAAATTGTTTGCTCTCAAATGATATGGGCTTACACTGACAGTTCCCACCCCTTCTAGTTCAATGACAATCGTCTGACAGTTTTCATTCTCGCTGAGAGTATCCGGCAAGCGATGAAGAGACACCCCATCAGTGTAGTAAGTAACGACTTATTAATAGAAATCTCTAACTGTAGGCTACCTGGAATTTTCATTTAGCCAAATGAGGATGATGCCTCTCTTGGAATGTCTGTTTTTGTAAATTCGATTTTGATTTCATGCAGCTGTGTAAAGATGCCCTCATACTGTGTATCCTGTCATCCATTCTGGTTCATCAGGAAGGAATATTATGGTGAAGGAACATATTCCCAGGGTATATAATGTTTTAAGTGTGACCTACTTAAGGTAGTTTATAAGAGAGGTGAATTGTTCTCACATTTAGAAATGTTGTTTAGGTTGTTATCAGGCTGGTAGTGGATCACAACAGAAAATAAAGCATCCCTGGCATTCCCTGCAAGTGATAACAGCACTGTAACCCAGTGTTATAGATGGCTTTACTGGAAGTCTAGTCTGGTCCAACAGACTGACCAGCACAGCGTTCTGTCTGGTTTATGAGACTGAATCAAGTGCATTCTTACTGGTAACATCCTGATCAATGCAAACATCAGAATCGTTTTAATCTATGCTTTTCCTTTTCATCCAGTTTAGCGCTGTACATCTTTTCCACCAACTGAAGCTGTCTGTGGTGTAGCTGTGGGGCCAGGGAACCACTGATGCTCAGGATAGGGGTGGGGTTGTTAGGGCGGAGTAGGGCGGAGCTGGGCGGAGCTGGGCAGAGCTGGGCGGAGTGAGAGAACAGAGTAGGCCCTGTTGATGGAGATGACCAGGGGTGGAGTCAATACTGACCCATAGAAAAGTATCTATCTGATTTTGGGATGGGGTGTTGTGGGCTTTTAACCAGGGTCAGAGGATCAATATGCTGTACAGTCAGTCACCTACACTAACCTTTCTTTACCTGCTTGGTTTGCTTGACCATAATCTGTTCAGTAAAGATGTAATAAAAAGGAGAGTTGTTTTGGATCCTGACAGTGGATGGAATGCTAGTGCAGAGATGTTCCACTCCTCTGTCTGTCTGTCCGTCCGTCAGACCATCCACAGCACACTGTTCCACTCATGTATGTCCGTCTGTCTGTCCACAGCATACGTCTCACAGCAATGGGCGCCAGGAGGTCACCACGCGCTCCGTCCGCTCAGGAGTCCGAACCCGGAACTCTGGTGCCGACGAGCAGCCTCATGTGGGGAACTACCGACTCCTGAAGACCATTGGGAAGGGCAACTTCGCCAAGGTCAAGCTGGCCCGTCACATCCTCACTGGCAGAGAGGTGAGAGGAGAGACTAGGCCTGGAGCAGGACAGCCTGCTGTTGCCCCTTTCTGGTTTACCTAGCTTCACTAGTCGATTCATTCCCCTCTCAATAGCGTTGTGCAAATATTAATTGTGTCTTGTTCATAAGTAGGGGACATCTAAAAAAACAAGATAAGTAATGTAATGTATGTATGTGTGTGCTGTGTTGATCCCAGTGAAGGGTCCTCAGAGGATAATTGTTTATACTGATAGTTCATCTTTTACACACTTTGATTTTGCTCTCTGTTCAGGTGGCGATAAAGATTATTGACAAGACACAACTGAACCCAAACAGCCTTCAAAAGGTAAGGATCCTCCCTGTGTGGCTGTGATTCCCAGTACACTTATTGAGGTTGTGTGGCGAAATAGATAATTTGTGATTGTGGCTGTGTAACCACTGACCTGTGTAGTTTTGGCCCTGTGCCTGTGCCCTGGTTGTGGCTGTGTAACCACTGACCTGTGTAGTTTTGGCCCTGTGCCTGTGCCCTGGTTGTGGCTGTGTAACCACTGACCTGTGTAGTTTTGGCCCTGTGCCTGTGCCCTGGTTGTGGTTGTGTAACCACTGACCTGTGTAGTTTTGGCCCTGTGCCTGTGCCCTGGTTGTGGTTGTGGCCGGTCAGAGGGCATTATTGATATGACTGATGTGCGGTAGCAGGCAGGTTTAGACAGACAGACAGACAGACAGAGAGAGAGCATGACCAGGGCATACCCAGGGTGCTGCTGTGGCCGTTGGTATTCTGCCCGCCCTACTGAGACTCAGAGTAAGTATCTCTCTCACTCGCTGCTTAGCTGCAGTTTCCATCTGTTTTTCCAAAGCACCATTGATTCGGTGCTTTGTATTTAAGGCCTGGCCCTTTGACATAGGCTGTGCTAAGTCAACAGAAAAACTCTGAGTAGGGCCCTATAAAATCAGCGTTGCGGATGGAATCACGGAATACAGACATTAAAATGGAATTCAACAATATTAAAAAATGTATTGAACTTCAGTAGGAAATCAACTACTGAACAAAAATATTAACGCAACATTCAACAATTTCAAAGATTTTCCTGAGTTACAGTTCATATAAGGAAATCAGTTAATTGAAAGAAATTAATTAGGCCCTAATCTATGGATTTCACATGACTGGGCAGGGGTGCAGCCATGGGAGGGCCTGGGAGGGCATAGGCCCACCCACTGTGGAGCCAGGTCCAGCCAATCAGAATTAGTTTTTCCCCACAAAGGGCTTTATTACAGACAGAAATTCTCCTCAGCTTCTGTTGACAATTTAGTAATAACCCCTAGGAATAGTCATGTTGTGTTGGGTACTTGATTTAACTCATTTATAGCAATACAAAGCTACAAATATCTTCCCTAAATGTCCCCTTTGCCAATTGAAATCCCCTTGTCTGACATAGGCGATGATGTATGAACAATAGGAACTCTATCTCTCAATCATCAACACATCTAAGTACATAACAAAAAGGTCAAGGGGTCAGGGTACACTGAGAAGAGGAGCCTACAAAATGCAGGTGGTTCTGTTATTGGGACAGTAAATCAGAACATGGTCTGTGTAAGAAGGCCTCTTAAGCTGAAATCTTTGTTTTCATCCTCTGTTTTTAATAGCTCACATCTGTGACAAGCTCATTGTAATCTATTCACCTCCATTCCTCCCTAGCTCCCTCCCTCCTTCACTGAAGGTCACATGACCAGACTAGGCTGTTGTTGCCCAGTTTATAGGGCAAAGGTTAGGGAAATGGCAAAGCCCTTTGATTAAATGTAAACAGTTTGTTCTCAGATGTTGTTTGGAGTCTGGTGTGGTGTGGCCTCTGCTTCTATTGCTCTCCTACTCCCTTCTCCTCAAGTCACCACAGAGCAGAACTAAAGCTGTGTTTAAGTTCAGTATAGGGTAATGAGAGCAGAAGCAGTGCTCACTAATAAACGTCGAACTGACTGTTAAAATGTGACCTGCTGTGACAGTTAGCTTGTAGCATAAGTAAAGATTATTTATCCATATATTAGTGCACTGGTAAGTAGTGATCGGGGGAAAAAATTTGATAGTTACATTTTTGGATAGTATTTTTGACAATATTGCAATATTATTTTTGAGCTAGTTGGCTGTACCTGCACCAAAACTCCAGTATTTGTCCTTTATAGCTTGTACACCATCTTCTTTTTAGATTTTTTCTCTTGTCCCTCTGCAGAAGACATACGGTGAGCAATATGTTTGGAACATCGAAAACGCAATAAAATCACAATTTCGAATTGCAATACATATCGTATCGGCACCTAAGTATTGTGATAATATCATGTAGTGAGGTCCCTGACAATTCCCAGCCCTACTGGTAAGGCTGGATTGTTGGCAACAAAATCTACATAGAACTGTTGTGTCTCTTTTGATCTTTTGGCAGTTTTGTTATGGGGCCCTAGCCTGGTGGTTCCCATGTGGTCTGTTTGTGTGTGTGCAAGAACTGACCGGTTCCGCTCTTTATCACTACATAAGCCTGTCAATACTGCTGTAAGAGAGTGTTATCTGTTCCCTATGGTATTCTCTAGACAAAACCATGAAACTCAACCAGCAACCACAGATAGGGGAACTCTGTTTTTTACAAAACAATGATAAGCCTGCCTGCCTATCCATGACATGGAAAATGGTCCAGAACAGACTATGGGAGGTGCACAGTACTGCATAGAGCCATGACTACATGGAACTCTATTCCACATCAGGTAACTGATGCAAGCAGTAGAATCAGATTTATGGACAGCGGGTACTGTGAAGAGACGCACAGACACACGCACGCTAGCACACGCTAGCACACGCACTCTACATACACGTACATTGTAATATTATTATTTTGTATTGTAGATACGTAGTGGTGTAATAAGTTATATAATGTACTGTTTTATCTTTTGTTTTGTGTGATGTAAGTGCCTTAATGTGTTTGTACCCCAGGAAGAGTAGCGCTAATGGGGATCCCTAATAAATACAAATACAGTGCCTTGCAAAAGTATTCATCCCCCTTGGCGTTTTTCCTATTTTGTTGCATTACAACCTGTAATTTAAATTGATTTTTATTTGGATTTCATGTAATGGACATACACAAAATAGTCCAAATTGGTGAAGTGAAATGAAAAAAAATAACTTGTTTCAAAAAATTATACAAAAGAAATAACGGAAAACTGGTGCATATGTATTCACCCCCTTTGCTTTGAAGCCCCTAAATCAGATCTGGTGCAACCAATTACCTTCAGAAGTCACATAATTAGTTAAATAATGTCCACATGTGTGCAATCTAAGTGTCACATGATCTGTCACATGATCTCAGTATATATACACCTGTTCTGAAAGGCCCTAGAGTCTGCAACACCACTAAGCAAGGGGAACCACCAAGCAAGTGGCACCATGAAGAACAAGGGGCTCTCCAAACAGGTCAGGGACAAAGTTGTGGAGAAGTACAGATCAGGGTTGGGTTATAAAAAAAATATCCGAAACTTTGAACATCGCACGGAGCACCATTAAATCCATTATTTAAAAAATTGAAATAATATGGCACCACAACAAACCTGCCAAGAGAGGGCCACCCACCAAAACTCACGGACCAGGAAAGGAGGGCATTAATCAGAGAGGCAACAAAGAGACCAAAGATAACCCTGAAGGAGCTGCAAAGCTCCACAGCGGAGATTGGAGTATCTGTCCATAGGACAACTTTAAGCTGTACACTCCACAGAGCTAGGCTTTACGGAAGAGTGGCCAGAAAAAAGCCATTGCTTAAAGAAAATAATAAGCAAACACGTTTGGTGTTCGCCAAAAGGCATGTGGGAGACTCCCCAACATATGGAAGAAGGTACTCTGGTCAGATGAGACTAAAATTGAGCTTTTTGGCCATCAAGGAAAACGCTATGTCTGGCACAAACCCATCACCCCGAGAACACCATCCCCACAGTGAAGCATGGTGGTGGCAGCATCATGCTGTGGGGATGTTTTTCGTCGGCAGAGACTGGGAAACTGGTCAGAATTGAAGGAATGATGGATGGCGCTAAATACAGGGAAATTCTTGAAGGAAACCTGTTTTTCTTCCAGAGATTTGAGACTGGGACGGAGGTTCACCTTCCAGCAGGACAATGACCCTAAGCATACTGCTAAAGCAACACTCGAGTGGTTTAAGGAGAAACATTTAAATGTCTTGGAATGGCCTAGTCAAAGCCCAGACCTCATTCCAATTGAGAATCTGTGGTATGACTTAAAGATTGCTGTACACCAGCGGAACCCATCCAACTTGAAGGAGCTGGAGCAGTTTTGCTTTGAAGAATGGGCAAAAATCCCAGTGGCTAGGTGTGCCAAGCTTATAGAGACATACCCTAAGAGACTTGCAGCTGTAATTGCTGCAAAAGGTGGCTCTACAAAGTATTGACTTTGGGAGGGGTGAATAGTTATGCACGCTCAAGTTTTGTTTCAATGTGAATACCACCCTGGTCTTCGTTGTCCTCAACACAGGCTGACTTCCCCAGTACAGAGCATGTCATGTCTGTCTGTCTGTGTTTCTTGATAGGTGAACAGTTAGGATGTCATTAAGCTGTATGTTCCAGACATGGTGATATATTTCCTCCTATGCATTGACTGTTGCAGCACCATGTATTGGGTAATGCCAGCTGCACAGTAGGAGCCAGACAGGCCAGCGCATGGCACAGCATCAGGCACGGGTCCTGCTCTATTAAATATGGATGACTTTTATTATTTTATGGATGGATGGGAGCACAGCGAGCTGTAGTAAAAGGGGGATCAATAATAAATAGCACTGAGTTATTTTATTCCCACTGAGATTGAACCCTAAAGAGTATTTTAGGCTCTGACACAACTCTGGTCACTCTCTAATGGTTATGGAGCATTTGTCTAGTGTGTGTGTCTGTGTCTGTGTCTGTGTCTGTGTCTGTATGTGTCTTGCTCAAATAACGTTGAATCCGGTAAAGTCTAAGGTTCTGAAAGAACGGCGAGGACAATAATCGGAACTTCACTTCATATTCTTTAATTCCACGATGTACGCAGGAAAATACACACAGGGATGAAAATGACAGAGTATTATAAACCCATAGATTTATGAGGAGGTCCTAGAGAGTGCCTACTTTGATTGACACACAAGATTTCTCCTTGATTGGTTAATATAGAACGGTGGGTAGGCTGTATGCAAAATATAAATGACATTTGTACATAGATAGGAGAAAATTAATTATGTCTGGAAAATGTATCGTAGAAACAAAGCAATCTTGCAGCTGTCTGATAATAGGCAGACTAAACCATGGGATTTGGCGAATAAGACAAAAGCAGGCCACAGGTGCCTGATAACGAACAACGATATATTCTAGATGTTTGTGAAAACCAGACTATAGTGCTTGGGAAATATTTGGGCAGAGATACATTTTCTCAGAGAACTGCTCTGTAAGCGAAAACTGTATCAGTGTCTGTCATCACGTGTCCGTGATCTTTTCTGTCTAAGTCAGCCAACTGTCTTTCCTACATTTTGCCTTTCTTACTACTATTACTACTGTAAGTGTTAGTATCATGCTGTTTATGTAATGCCTGATCGGCCCTGGGAAGGGCTGTGGCGGTCATGACATTTCGTCAGCTGATGATTGTCAAGCAAATAACTGTCGGTCTCACGGTAATTTACCGTTAATTAACATAAACACATTTACCATCTCCTGGTTTCTACACCTTCACAATAAATCCATTATTTATTTTAGACAGGTCTAAAGAAGCATGATATGAAGAAAATGTAGTCTATTTCAGAAGAACAGAATAGCATACTCTGAGTTGTCCTTATGTTAGGTCCTGATCTGGCTATGCCAAATAGCTGTGGGCTACACTAGTTCATTTAGCAGACAATATTTGCTTAGAATTCCATGGCATTATTTAATAGTATGAAGAATACAATTGAACAAAGCTGAATAAAATAGAAAGGATATTTTCTCCAAACGATTTGAGGGAGTGCGCACATGCAGCTATTCTGTGTTGAGAGGTTAACAAAGAAATAGTTACTCCTATATGCTTCATTTAGAGTTATTCATTTAACTTTAGTTGTTCTACAAACGTTGGGCTATATGTATTGATTTTTAATACATTGTAAGGCTGCATGATACGACTAATGATGATTTGAAAAAAGTAACTTGAAAGGCATGAGCTCTGCTTAGTGTTTTCTGCAGGCTGTACACACTACATCAGTCACTCATTCACAATTTGACAAGCACTTGATAATGTCTTGAATTTCACGGCGGCAACCCTTTTGTGTGGCTGTAGTGCACCCTAAAAAAAATCTATGCCTTTTGCTGCCAGTGGCCGTTGTGCCCTTCTCCCTGAGTGCTGAGCACTCCGAATCACCTCTCACTCACATGGCTCTCCATCACGTGATCGGGTCTTTCTCACAGGCTACAAGTGAAGACAGACACATCGGGGACGCAACTGTGCGCGTCCTTATCCAATTCCGAGGTGCATATTGAAGATATTGGAAGAACTGTCCACATTTACTTTTCGTCAGCCCACAAGATGAGTAGGCCTAACGAACAGCAAAAGCACTAGCCTATGTCAATCTACTATCCCCCATAGTACAAAAGCCGACCTATTCTGTGCGAGAAATAAATATTCCAAACATAGTCTGGGGTAGTTGTGGGATGCGATAGATCCCAAATTAATACAACCACTAGCATCAAAAAAACGTTTTCTTATGCAATGTGATCAGAATGTTTAGCTTTAAAATGTTGATGAACTCTTAGGCTATTTCTTCACGTTATAAGCGCAGCAATGTGCACATGGTAGTAGGCTATATGCGCGAATGTTCCACTAGCGGAAAACACCATTATCAAAATCGACTGCAAATGCAATTATGCATGTAATGCTTTTATTATAAAGGTGCCTTTTTATGGTGTAAATGATCTTCCCCAAACTTGAAACTCACGCGCTGCATATGTATGCCAGTTAGGCTCTACACCCCTTGTAAAGCGGATTAATATGCTTAATTCTAAGAAGTTATTTGGCCACTTTAGTAGTGATACAAAACGTATCAAAACATATAGGCCTATGGGCTAGGCTACATGAGGTGTGCGACTATGATTAGAAAAAGTCGCAAAAAAAGGCATTGTTTCTTATGCTGGGCATCATTCACAAGCGATAATATATCATTCACAAGTGATAGGCTAATATTGTCACCCTTCAGACTATTCTTGATTTAATCTTGTCTTTACATACACTACCAGTCAAAAGTTTGGACACACCTACTCATTCAAGCGTTTTCCTTTATTTTTTACATTGTAGAATAATAACGAAGACATCAAATCTATGAAATAACACATATGGAATCATGTAGTAACCTAAAAAGTGTTAAACAAATCAAAATATGTTATATTTGAGATTCTTCAAATAGCCACCCTTTGCCTTGATGACAGCTTTGCACACTCTTGGCATTCTCTCAACCAGCTTCACCTGGAATGCTTTTCCAACAGTCTTGAAGGAGTTCCCACATATGCTGAGCACTTGTTGGCTGCTTTTCCTGCACTCTGCGGTCCGACTCATCCCTCATCTCAATTGGGTTGATGTTGGGGGATTGTGGAGGCCAGGTCATCTGATGCAGCACTCCATCACTCTCCTTCTTGGTAAAATAGCCCTTACACAGCCTGGAGGTGTGTTGGGTCATTGTCCTGTTGAAAAACAAATGATAGTCCCACTAAGCCCAAATCAGATGGGATGGTGTATCACTGCAGATTGCTGTGGTAGCCATGCTGGTTAAGTGTGCCTTGAATTCTAAATAAATCACAGACCGTGTCACCAGCAAAGCACCCCCACACCATAACACCACCTCCTCCATGCTTTACGGTGGGAACTACACATGCGGATATCATCCGTTAACCCACACGCGTCTCACAAAGGCACGGCGGTTTGAACCAAAAATCTCAAATTTGGACTCCAGACCAAAGGACACATTTCCACCGGTCTAATGTCCATTGCTTGTGTTTCTAGGCCCAAGCAGGTCTCTTCTTATTATTGGTGTCCTTTAGTAGTGGTTTCTTTGCAGCAATTCGACAATTTTTTTTGCTACCCTTCCCCGGATCTGTGCCTCGACACAATCCTGTCTCGGAGCTCTACGGACAATTCCTTAATGGCTTGATTTTTGCTCTGACATGCAATGTCAACTGTGGGACCTTATATAGACAGGTGTGTGCCTTTTCAAATCATGTCCAGTTAATTGAATTTACCACAGGTGGATTCCAATGAAGTTGTAGAAACATCTCAAGGATGATCAATGGAAACAGGATGCACCTGAGCTCAATTTCGAGTTTCATTGCAAGGGGTCTGAATACTTATGTAAATAAGGTATATCTGTTTTCTATTTTTTATAAATTTGCAACCATTTCTAAAAACCTGTTTTCACTTTGGCCTTATGAGGTGTTGTGTGTAGATTGAAGAGGATTTTTATTTATTTAATCAATTTTAGAATAAGGCTGTAATGTACAAAATGTGGGAAAAGTCAAGGGGTCTGAACTTTCCAAATGCACTGTATATATTATACAATTCCACTTCTAACAGTTCCCTACTGTCTCTCTTCTCTGACACATCCAGTCCAACACTGAAATATTTATTAATTTATTTTCTCTCCCTGCAGCTCTTCAGAGAAGTAAGAATAATGAAGATTTTAAACCACCCAAATATAGGTAAGCAGAACACACACACACCTCCATACACCACACACCACCATACACCACACACTTGAGTTACAGCTGGTGAAGGAGACAGGATTCTCTATTAATTGCGTTTCATTTTGTACCCCACGCATGTCATGATTTCCTCTGCTCAAATGTGATTATAATTAAATGCACAATGATAACCATTTAAAAGAGCGAGAGAGAGAGAGCAAGCCTCTTCTTCATCCCACCTCCACTATATATAGCCATAGAGCTCTCAGCCACTCATCATCCAGAGACTGTTAGAACAGCTCACTGAAAACACTGCAGGGACGCTGATTTTACACTGTATACCAAATAAGCATGAGTGCCCTGTATAATATGTCCACATGTGAGATATGGTAGGTGTGAGAGTGTACGACTGGGTTACACACACAGGCACGCATGCACCAACACACACACACACACACACACACCGTTCTAAGATGAGGAAGTGGGGAGATTAGTTGGAGGAGTGATCAAAGGAAATGAGAAATACATTTCTTCAGTTTCCTCAGGCTCCTCAAGGCTTTTAGCAGTAGAAAATCTGAATTCTTGTGAACTGGATTCCTTGCTCTAAGCTACGACAGCTTGCTCTTGATACTGAGGAACAGAAACTCCCTAGAAACATCTTGCCCAGCTATCCAGGACAAGCATTTTTACAAAGTTGAGCCAGAAAGATGCAATTCATAATTGATATTGAGTGTGGGCCTGAATTCAAAGACAAATCTTTCTCTTTTCCCCTCAGTCAAGCTGTTTGAAGTGATCGAGACAGAGAGGACGCTGTACCTGGTGATGGAGTATGCCAGTGGAGGTGAGTAGTATGTTATGCCTTGGCTTCTCAGCCCTCATAACTGCTGTGATGGCATAGGGCTTGGTGAAGAGCCATACGGGAAACTAGGGCTGTCCCCGACTAAAAAAAGATATTGGTCGACCGAGAGTCATCTGTTCTTTCGACCAATTGATAAAACGTGTATTTTTCCATATATAGACACATCCTATGTGTTTTAATCAAATCAACTATATGCAGTGAGCTTGTCTGATGCTTTAAGCGCACTGTTTGATTAAATAATTAAGACACACTAATGACTGGTGGGAGTCCGACCGCAATTGATTTGATTGTGCAGGGCCGGGCTCAGACTTGAGTTTTAAAAAATGACAGCGAGTGACTGTGTGACTAGCACTCGTTGTCTCTCTCGCCTCCCTGCTGCATCGACCACCAAAGCGTTTATCGCGCTGTCCGTGTTGCTGAAGCTGCAACGTAATTACAGCCATTTCTGACTGAAAAGTTCTGTTACTGAAATCCCTCATTTGTTTAGGAAAAACTCTCTATTCCCTCAACCCTTGCTCTCTTTACGTGACACATGTATGCATCGCATGCACATGACCAATAGGGCCTGATCTATAGCATATCATAATCACATCAATAAATTAATTATAACAAATTCCAAACACCGTAACACATGTGACAGCAAAATGGATGCAAAGGACATGACAAATAAACTAGAAACGGGGAATGTTTACAGGTTGCTCAGGAGGTAAAGCGGAAGTCAGATGTGGGGAATAAATTTGACTAGTTGTGGAAAATACTGGAAATCAAGAAAAATAAGGTAAGGAGCAAGCGCTGCGTGCATATTATGTGTGCCAAACAGGTGCTGTTAGATTACAGTATAATTTCTCTCACCGTTTGGAACAATGTAAACAAAACTAAATAAATGATGAGCATACCAGAGAGTCTGTATGTTTTTTTTTGTTGTAAAGCCTTTATAACAGCAAAGACTAAAACCAGTCGCATTCATTCATTAATGCAATTTCCAAAATTGAACGGTTTATTTATTGTTTACGCTAATTATTCAAGGATCACTTTGTTATTTTTAAAACTAAAATGCTTGATTGCATTTCAAATCATGAGTGACTCGTATGCTATGTGATGACATGAATGAATGATTGATTGATGCAGTACTGTAGCTTATATATGTATTGAAATATAGGCCTAAGTAAGTTACGGTATTAAGAATAAACAGGATAAGCTCTTAGGCCTACAGCTCGATGGTGGTTATACAAGGCTGCTATACTAAGCCTACTAATGATAATTACATTACTTATAATTATAATAATGATAATATAACAGTAATAACAATAAGGAGATCAAGAAAAAGGAGGGTTATTATAAATACACATTTTCTGACAATTTGGAACAGTGTAAACAACACTAAATACATTTATAAATAATACCAGAGAGGCTATTCTAACGAAAAACTGTGTAAAGCCTTTATTACAGCATAGCAAACAGCCAAATTTGTGAAATTGTTTAATAGCCTACTGATTCCATGAGCACCAAGCCTTCGTGAGCACCAACCACAACATGTCGGATAAACAAACACTCAAGCAGGATCTGTCTTATTTCTGTAGATATATATGGATGATTTAGAAAGCCAGACACATTTAACAGTTAGGCTATTGATTATAGACCTAATTAAGTTGGGGTTTCCTCTCTCCTCACTTTTCTTAGACAATTAAGGAAAAGGCTGTTTTCTCATCTCCTAACTCCGAAGCTGCCTCCACAGCATTGTTCTCAACAGCAATATGCTGGTTAACTTTGCTATTATGCACATAGCAACATGGTCTAGGAAAAGGCACCAATTCAACAGCGCACTGATGTGTTTCAGAACCGCGCACAGTGACCGCTATCCAACGCGGGAGAAAGCTCATCTGTTATAAAATAATATATTGTTGCACCATTGTTCCTACATAATATAACCATATACAATTGCCATCCCCACGGCCTCCACAATGGATTAGTCCACTCAGACAGGCACCAATCAAACAAGTGTCTTGTACACCATGAATTTATTTATATTTTTTGCTACTGCTCGACTAATGAAATCTCAGTCAACCAACAGCCTATTGACCAAACAATCGACCAGTCGACTAAATGGGGTCAGCCCTACAGGAAACATATCATATTCAGAACATTGCAACAGTGGCCATTGCCAACCTACTTTTAGGAAATCTAAAATGTGTGTTGACACATCCTGCATTTAGAGCAGAGTTGGAGGTCACTGGTGACTCTCTTTTGCGCACATAGGCCTACAAGCTCGCTCGCACACACTCACACACTCACTTGTTGCCACCGAAGATCAACACTGAGTGTGTGTGGGAGGGTTTCGAGGATGCAGAACAAAAGGTTTATGGGGCAAGTTGTGTTAATGCTGGACCCCCCCTTCTCACCCCCTAACCTCTCAGCTGCTGTTAGCTGCTGTTAGCACACGAGAGAGCTGTGTCACATTTTAGCATGGACGGGTATGAGGGAACACAACACACAGATGCGTGGGCTGAAGAAACCATCTGATGTTGCAGCCATACTCGGAAGCTTGTGCCTTCAGGACAGAGCTACAGTAAAGGAATTAGAGTTCTGTGTCTCTCTGTAGGCGTGAGGAACAGTTAGGTTCACATGCTCCTCATACTGTGTTTCAAATAGTTATTGATTTGGTTTTGATTATTCTCTAAACCAGGGCTGTTCAATGTCGGTCCTGGAGGGCCGTAACACTTCTGGTTTTCATCCTCTCCTTCTAATAAGGGTCTAATTCAGACTTGGGACACCAGGTGTGTGTAATTAACTACCAGGTAGAAACAAGAAACTGAAGTATTTCGGCCCTCCAGAACCGGAATTGAACAGCCCTGCTCTAAACCTTGACCTTATTCGATGTACAAAGTGTTGATGTTTTCATACCGTTTTCCCTTTGAAATACACAGCCTTTAATTTCAGCCTCTTACTGTTGTCTTCTTTCTCTTGCAGGAGAGGTCTTCGACTACCTTGTTGCACACGGAAGGATGAAGGAAAAAGAGGCCAGGGCTAAATTTAGACAGGTAGGTACAGGACTTTACCCGCAGTGTGCTGGATTCTCACCCTGCCTGCCTGCCTGTCTGCCTGGCGATTCGTCACTAGTCAGTGTCCTGACCCACCCAGGATTGACTGCTGTCACTGTTAAGTTATGAGAAGTGACAAAACACAGAGCTCCCCTCATTTCTTATCTCTCTCCCACTGACGGTGACACACTGGGGATGTGCTGCCTACGCACAGCTCTCTGCAGTAGGAGGATAGTCAGGCACACTCAGCAATGTCGAGGCTATAGCTAACTACTTCCCTGGTCTGACTGCAGGTTCATCTTACTGCAGAGTTTCATTGGGAGCTCTAATACACGGATAAACTTAGAGCAGATGCTCACACAGGAAGAGGAGACCCAGTTTTCTCTAAGCTTCATGTCTACACTCTGTTTCTGAGACACTGTCTCTCTCTAGCTGTGTCTGTCCTCTCACTCGACACCACATGTCCTCACCACATCCTTCACCTAGGGGGGGTTGTACACCACATGTCCTCACCACATCCTTCACCTAGGGTGGGTTGTACACCACATGCCCTCACCACATCCTTCACCTAGGGGGGGTTGTACACCACATGTCCTCTCCACATCCTTCACCCAGGGGGGTTGTACACCACATGTCCTCACCACATCCTTCACCTAGGGGGGGTTGTACACCACATGTCCTCACCACATCCTTCACCTAGGGGGGGTTGTACACCACATGTCCTCACCACATCCTTCACCTAGGGGGGGTTGTACACCACATGTCCTCTCCACATCCTTCACCCAGGGGGGTTGTGAAAACTGTGCCAGGTGGAAGACTGTAACTGTATCACTCTGTATGTGTGTTTCTCTGTAGATCGTTTCTGCTGTGCAGTACTGCCACCAGAAGCACATTGTTCATAGAGACCTGAAGGTAAGGACCCAGTGAGGGTGGGGGAGGGGTGTGTGTGGGGGGGAGGATGAACTCAGGTGGCCAGAGGCGGGGCTTTTACCTGCTCACATGTTTTCTATTGCACCACATACTCACTTAAAATGCCATTCCATTTAGCCAGCCTCCGTTATGCTGCCACATGTAGAATAAATATTGATGCTCCTGTATTTTTATCTCGGATAGCGTGAGGGGGTCGACCTCAGTGGGAGTTGCTCTGTTCAGAGCTCCCATCTCCTTTCCGGCAGCAGCGTGTCCATACTGCGTTTCCTTTCTAGAGCTTCATGAATGATCCATGAGGACAGAGATGTAAGAGCAGAGAGCAGCCATCACCCTGTGTGTTTGTGCCACTGGAGAAAGAGGGAAACACAGTTAAACTTTAAACATGACACTAACTTTGACTTGTAGAGCACTTTGTTTTGTGAGGGGGTTTTCTGTAGAGGGATCAGTAGATATTTTTTTGCCTTTGACATCACTACCTCTAATTGGAACTCGACTGTCATCATGGATCTTTGTGGGTTATTCAAATTTGTCATGCTTTTACCTGTGACCCAGGTGGTCTGTTACCTCTATCTCTCAATCTGACGTCCCAGCTATCTCTCACCTCATCCCTCCATTCTTCTCTCCCTTCCCCTCCTGTGTCTCTAGGCAGAGAACCTGCTGCTGGATGCAGACATGAACATTAAGATAGCAGACTTTGGCTTCAGTAATGAGTTCACCATGGGGAACAAGCTGGACACGTTCTGTGGCTCCCCACCCTACGCCGCCCCAGAGCTGTTCCAGGGGAAGAAGTACGATGGGCCCGAGGTGGACGTCTGGAGCCTGGGGGTCATCCTCTACACACTGGTCAGCGGCTCGCTGCCCTTCGACGGGCAGAACCTCAAGGTATGTAGAAAGACTCATAAAAATACTTCCATACTCAGTTCCTTTGTCTGTGGGAGATTCATAGTCAGTGAAACATATGGGTAAAACTTGAGATAAGATGTCCTCACTCCCTGTCTTACTCACTCTTTCTCCCTGTCCGTCTCTCTGTAGGAGCTTAGGGAGAGGGTTCTGAGGGGAAAATATCGTATCCCCTTCTACATGTCCACAGACTGTGAGAACCTCCTCAAGCGCTTCCTGGTGCTCAACCCGGCCAAGCGGGGGACTCTCGAGGTGAGGGAGGACAGCGAAAACGTAAATATTCAACACTTTATTCTCTCTGCCATGGCATGACGGCACTCCAGAGCATTCTCTCCATCCGCCTGCTATATATCCATCCACCTGCCATCTCTCCGTCCATCCACCTCTCCGTTCCTTGGCCCGGCATCTGCTTGGCCCGGCCACCACTCTCTTTTTGTGCTGATTACATATTCTCCCTTCTCTCTTCTCTGTTGGCACAATCCATAATTCATGATCACTCTTGTTTTTATCTTTCTTGTTTTCTGAGTTTTAGGCAGAGAGAAATGCAGGCACAGCACAGAGATGTCTTGGTTTCTATGTGATCACATAATGTGTGCTCACATCCATCCTCATCTCTCTTGACATTAGAAGTTCAGATTAGATACAGCCCTGCATTGAAAGATGTCATTTAGAACAGATATCGGGCTCGTGGTTGTACATTTCCTATTATCATTATCTTATTAAACCCATTGTACAAGATGTTCCGATTGATTGGTGAGTTTGTTTGTGAATTAGATTAGACTGACTTTATGGCGATTCAGCTTTCAAACAGTGAAGCGTCGATTCGAATCAAAATCTATATTTTTCAAGGAAACCACAATTACATTTGTTATTTGAGTTCAATGAGGTGAAATAAGTGAAGCTTTAAGTGGATTTAAGAAAGCACAACTAAGTCCCCCCCCCCCCTTTATACCCTGTATTAAGAGGCCCCAGGCCTGTATTATAAATACATTTTTTTTTTTTTTTTCAGGAAATCATGAAAGACCGCTGGATCAACGCAGGATCGGAGGAGGACGAGCTCAAGCCTTTCATAGAACCAGAACAGGACATCACAGATCAGAAGAGAATAGGTACTAAGAGGAGAAAACTGCTCTTGTTATTGAGCTTCACAAACTCTAAAGTGTGTAGGCAGCAGCACTGCAGCATAATCGCTCTCAGTATTTAAGCACTTTACAGTTTTGAAAATAAAAAGTTGAAACGCAGCATAAACGCTGCTTCTGCAGGAGCCTCTGAGAGAGGGAGAGACACATGAGACAGAGAGAGCCTCCACATCTTGCCCTGGATAAAAGCACTAAGGGGGAGAGGGAGGGGGAGAGAGGGTGTACATGCTGAAAGATGTCCTCTGTAGTGTGGGGGTATTGCATAACAGCAGCTGGGATCTCTGTCAGAGCACGTTGGTTAGAGGGAGCTGCCAGTCACCTAGCGCAGAGAGAGAAAGAGAGCGGGCGGGAGGGAGAGATGAAATGGAGCACATGTTTCACTGAGGGCTCTGTGGTCTAGTGGAGAGAGATCACGTTTCAGGGTGTTCCTCATCCCGTTCACCCAGTGGAGAAGCACTGATTCCTCAGTGGGTTTAGTGAAGCCTGATCTGCCAAAACACATTGATTGGGGAGCACTGTATAGCCTAGTGGGGAGATCGAGGGAGCTGATGTATGATGGAACTGCAGCTCTGGGAGCTTCCCCACCTGGCATGCTCCTCTCAATGTGATGCAAGTAGCACAGTGGGGGTGGAATCACCCCATCTTCCACTGCCTCCCAACCGATCACTTCCACCCCCGCTGTGCTGCTTGCATCACCTGTCCTCCTCTGCTGAAGGATGGGGCGAGAGGCAGGAGGGGGCCGGGTGATAACACCTGAGCTAGAATGCATTGCTGACTCACTCGCATGATGAGGTTGCTGCTACATTTAATAAGTGGTGAAAAAGCTCTTGTCGTTATGGTGGAATAGGAAGATGTAATACATGTTTGCTTTAAATGAGTCAGAGGAGCAAGTGTGCATACTTGCTTATGAATTGTTTATATCTATGTAGAACACACTAAGGATGTGGGCTGCTATTGGTTGCTGATACTGGCGAATAAAGACCTTTCTGGTATTATGGCAGCTATTTTGGGTTGCAGGATTGGGGTCAATTCCATTAAATGAAAAGTCCCTTAAAATAAGAAAGTTGTTGACAGTGGTTGTAGAGGCCAGGGCTGTGTATTTGAACCCATGTCTCTGTGCTGTACCAGATGTGATGGTGGGGATGGGCTTCTCTCTAGAGGAGATCCAGGAGTCTCTGGCCAAGATGAAGTATGATGAGATCACCGCCACCTACCTGCTGCTGGGGAGGAAGTCTTCTGAGGTCAGAGCAACATTATGGATAGGTGTTGATGTCTTTGGTCTAGTGCTTAGTATATCCATTAGTATCTAATATTTTTAATGTGTGTGTTTGTGACCTTTGACCCCTAGCTGGAGCCCAGTGTTTCAACCTCCAGCAGCAACCTGTCCCTGGCTAAGCCACGGCCCACCAGCGACCTCAATGGCCAGTCCCCCTCCCACCTCAAAGTCCAGCGGAGCATCTCCTCCAGCCAGAAACAGAGACGATACAGTGACCAGGGTGAGACACTCTATCAGTCAGTCATTAACAACCATTTAGAGGGAATTCTCATCTTTGACAAATGCTTTTCAACTCCAACGTGAAGCCAAAGATATTCAGTTCTATGCAGGTCAATAATGTTTATTTCTATCTCTTCTACCATTTCCTCTATTCCTCATCTTCTCTCTCTTCACCAGTGGGTCAGAACGTTCCCCCAGGTTCAGGACACCCTAAGAGGAGCCAGACCAGCACGGCCGAAAACAACATCAAAGAGGAGGGAGGGGTGCAGCTCCGCAAACCCTACACCCCCGGGGGGCGCAGTGTCCCCCCCTCCAGCCCCTTGCTGGGGAATGCCAACAATCCCAACAAGGCTGATATTCCCAATGGCAAGAAGGGTGCTACCACCGTTCCCAATGTGAGTGTCTGCTATTCCATCCCATTATCAATTGTATAACATATTCTTACACTTGAAGTGGGGATGAAACCTCCATTCCGATTTGATGATTTGTGCTGAATCAGCGTTTCTGTTCCACCCTGCAGAATAACACTGGCTCTGACGGGATGACGAGGAGAAACACGTACGTGTGCAGCGACAGGAACGTTACGGACTGTCTCTCTGTCATTCCCAATGGGAAGGAGAACAGGTAAGGAACAGGCTAGAATTTTACTGTGTTCCCTGGCTGCCTGAACTAAACCCCTAGTGGCCCCTTTCAAAGGAACCCTCCACATGGCATCAGCATTCAACACGGCACCTTCTCTGTTCCTCCCCCCAAGGGCATAGAGGAGAGAACTATGTGTAGTAATACTGTTATTATTGAGATAAGTTATTGAAGAAAAACAAGCCCAGGCCTCCAGGGGAGAAATATCCTCCATTTTGTGCTCCTATCTACTTTCCCCCCATCACTTTTTTGGCCCCTTTTTTCCCCTCTTTTATCTTTCTGGTTTCTTCGTGGTCTGGTCGTGTCCCAGTATGACCGAAATGTATGCCTGTGTGATGATTATCCCGTCCTCTGACTTTGCCCCCGTGTTGACTGGCTCATCCACCTCGGTCCAGCTGAGGTACCAGGCCTCTGACCCTCTGTCTCCCTGCCCCTCAGACTCAGACTTAGGCTGGGCCACGCTGCCCCACTCCCACTGCACTCTGGACTTCTACAGGCCCAAGTAAGACAGCAGGCAGGGCCTCCAACTGTCTGTCTGACCTCTCACCTCCCACGTGTAGACCCGTCTCACTGTCTCAGGCCCTCTCTAACCCACGAAAAGGCTCCCACATCCACATCCATCCCTTTCATGGACTCCATCTCTAACCGTTGTGATGACGACATCTCTCCCTCTCTCTAACCTCTTGTAGGAGACAGACCCACCCTTTATTACACACACACCTCTGTTCCCTAATCTCTCCTTCATCCTCTGCTTGGACCTGGGAGCCCTGGTCCGGCCCTGGTCCGGCCATGGTCTGGCCCTGATCCTGGTCTGGCACTGGCAGCTCCACCAAACACCTCTGGCTCGACTATCCAAACCTGTGTCAGTCACTCCATGTTTCACCAAACAAGTTTTCCTCTCTTTGTTTAGTTCTATCTGGATATTAGGACTCCAACTCACTTTAACAATATCACACTATAGTGAACTACTAGAATGACTCTAAATGAACATTGACACGGATTAGATGTAATTTTGGAGTTTAGGACTTGAAGGTAAGGTTCTGGTGGTATGATAATGGCCCAGCTGGTGATACTATGTATAGAACTGGTATGTACAGCCAGGTGTTTGTCTGTCTTCTCCGTCTGATCTCCTCCCTCCGTTCTCCCTGCAGTGTGGCCGTGTCTCCTGGCCAGCGGAATCCCGTGGCGTCCACCCACAGCATCACCAGCGCCACCACGCCGGACAGACTACATTTCCCACGAGGCACGGCGAGCCGCAGCACCTTCCACAGTGGCCAGCTGAGGGAGCGCCGCACGGCCACCTACAACGGGCCCCCAGCCTCACCCACCCTGTCCCACGACGCAGCGCCCCTTTCCCAGACCCGCAGCCGCGGCTCCAGCAACCTCTTCTCTAAACTCACCTCCAAACTCACACGCAGGTAGGTGTCAGGAACTACAGCTCCATGCCACTCAAGTCAACTATGAGTCCAAGCCCCTAAAATATACTATGACTATATCTAGCTATATGTTTTTTTTTTTATCCTTCTGAGTGGGCTTTGAACGCCATGCTTTTTAGCATCATGAATCACATTGTGTGGAACATTCACAGTCCTACTAACAATAGATTGTTCCAAAAGCACTGATAACGTAGCCTGGGTGCCAGCCTGAGAAAGACATCAAATTAATCATACCTCAAGTGTAAACCAGCAGGGAAAACCCAATTTGAGTTTTTGTCCAGACTGAGTAGAGTGAACACACATCTCAGACGGGCAGCCAGGCTGCTGTCAACAATTCGTGGATCTCCCAAGACTAACCTGACAATAGGAATAGAAATCAACATCTGTCATTTTAACCTTCTCCTCCTCACAATTCCAACCACCCTGTTTCTGTTCACTTATTTCAAGTTGCAACCAATCATCTTCTTTCAGTTTCTTGCCTCATTTCACTTTCTTTGTGTTTCCTGATTCTGTTGTAGAAACATGTCATTTAGGTTTACCAAAAGGTAGGACCCCCTTTTACCTTCAATTAATCAACTAAAACTTGCAATTAATCAACTAAAACTTGCAATTAATCAACTAAAACCAATAATAGGACAAGCTGGAACTGACAAACTAACATACTGCTTAGAACCTCTATGCTTTGTGACTGTGATTGGTCTTAGGCTTCTAGAGTTAACGATGGGGTAGATTGTAAGGGCAGTGTTGCCCTCTCGATTTGTCAGTTAGTTAAAACATCCATCAACAGCCAACAGAAAGCTTAACACTAATCAATCTCCATTGCATGCGGTGGGGACGGGACTGCTTACATAGTTGCTATTGACTCTGATTTGTTTTTCACAAAGTAAAGCTTGATCAGTATTGAACTGTTGTTCCAGGTAAGTTTGTGTGTTTTATGTAGACAGGTCTGTGCTTGAAAGGTAGACAAATTCTATTAGTCTATTCTAACTTGTCTGGATCTCTGTCCATCATTGGATTTTGCTGTATGTTATTAGTTGTGACCAATGCTCCCTATAATAACTGTGCTGGCTTGTAGGAATGTGATCGGCTTTGTGATGTGGCGACGCAGGATATAGAGTATTCTGATAAGAGTTATTGTTCATAAGGCTTTGGGAACTTCAGTTTGTGCAATATTGGTTTGTGGAGTCGTGTGCACTTGTTGTGAACCGAGAGTGTTGTGAAATGCTTTTCGTGAACCAGGCGTTCTGATGAGCAAGATCAGAGGGATTTATGTCTTGATACATCAATTTGTAAACATTTACAAGCAGATGGTCTGGCAGTTCAGGATATGTTGTTTACAAAGCTGGGACAAAAGGCAAAGCTCTCCCATCATACCTCCTCTTCAGACATAACCTTTTGTTCTTCAGTCTGATGTAGTGACACACTGACATCTTGTGGCTACCAGGAGTTCTACATCTCAGGAAGTTGTCACCTTTTGCAACCCTTCCATATTTTTTCATTCACCATGTCCTTGTCACTCATTTCTTTTCACTGTTGATTCTTATTTCTGCACAGAGTAACAACATCTTGGAAACGATTGGTTTAAGTATAGGGAAGTAAGTCTTAGCAGGAAGTCTCTTGTCTCAGTAGTAGGCAATGCGCTTTGGTCTCTCTGTGCCTTCCCTTCACTCTTCTCCTCGTTATTGTACTGCTGTGTGCCAATGTCTCCCTGACCTTTCTGTGCCCTTTAACCTTGGACCTTTCACTGCTCTTCCTCCCTTCAGGGTCAGTATTGACCCGGCCAAACGGCAGACGGCCAAATCAGGGCCTGCCATCCCTTCTGCCCAGGGAGCAAAGACTCTTAGTAAGTCTTCTGTTCACCCATCTCTCCTCTTCTCTTCTCCCCCTCCCTCTACCTCCTTGTCATCCTGGCATTATCGGCCTGTGATCATGTCGTACATCAAGTTTCTTTCTTTCTCTCTTTTCATGTATCCGTAAAAAATACACTTTTTTTCAGAATCCATCTTTTCTTCCAGATTCAGCAGCGGAAGATATAGAGAATTGTAGGAAGTCGCAGATGGAGACCTAGAGTAAGGGATCATTTCAACCCTTATGACCCCACAAGAGTTAGTGTGTCAGAGTTCTGTGTGTAGAGAACTAACTTATACACACCCCAACACAGGAAACATTCCCCTTCTCTCCAATATGTGTATGTGACAGACACACTCCCAGCACCTCTCCCTGTCCCAGATACAGTCTCAGACCTTTTTGTGTCCCTCATCCCCCTGGCTAGAGGCTGATATCCTTCCTCTACCCTCCTGTAGAATCATTTCAAGGCTAGTCTGCATGTGTGGAGCCCAAAACTCATTAGGGTCTATGGACCTGGTATGCAGTCCCTGTCTACTATGGCCCTATGACTGGTTGCCTGGTTGCCTGATTGTCTTTTAAACCAAACCCCCTCTTCTTTAAACATATCCAGTGTCACGTCGAGGGAAGAAACATAGGACTAGAGTACCGCTGTCCTGCTGTCTGTCAACCTCTAGAGTAGACCGCATGAGTCCTCCCACAATATCCCCAGTCTGCATGCACTGACCCTAATGCTGCGTTCGTAATCAAGTGGGAGGTGGGAATTTACCAGTTGTGAAGTCGTAGACAGTTTGATGCATTCACATGATTTTAACTAATTGAGAAACGCTGATTGGCTAATGGCCAACAAGCTGAGTAAACCATAAACTAAAAGTACAGCTATCATGCTTGTAAACAAATGATAGTGTTAAAAAAACATATTAATAGATTGCTTTTTATAAATAATGTTTTGTTGCATTTAATTGCCGAAAATGCTGTTATCGAGGTCATTTATTTAGAAGGTGATGTCATAGGTCAGCATGTGAGAGAAGTGTGAGCTCAGGATGGTAGACAAGTTTCCCACTAGTAATCTCCAGTTGAAGGTCCATTGAAGTGGATGTTTTCCAGTCGTATGCGGTAAATTCCCACTTCCCACTTGGTTACGAACGCAGCTCAATACACAACGTGTGCGTGCAAGGGTGTGGGTGTGTGGACTGTAGTTCCACTGTATGATTTAGTTTTTGTCGTATTTGGGTGAATCTCTTCTCATCACCAAGCATACCCAAGCTGTCATACCGTCATTCAACACATTTCCATTCCTGTATCCCCTTGCTCTGTCGTCTGTTGAAGCACTTTTTTTGTTCCTTTGCGCTCATTTTTATTTTGTGTTAAAGAAGCAAGAAAGTGTGAACACCAGCGACACTGATCAGTTTGACCAGTGCAAAGGCTCTCTTTTTCCGTTGATACTCTGATTTCTGCGCAGGTTTCATGTCAAAACTTCCATAATGAGGTTATAGTTACTTGGTGGTGGCTTTCTTGTTTTTATAACTCAGTATAATATACATGTTATATATCTGTTAATATATATTCACAGTATATATCAGTGTTATCTGTTGTCCTTGAAATTGCAAAATACTCTCTTCGGAAGTCCACAGTTTGTGTTTTTTCTCTTTTCTTCTAATCTTGCTCTGCTCCCTCAACTGTCACAGAGTCTCAACCGAGTTTGAAAGAAACGGGAGATTTGAGGGCTCAAGGTGAGGTGTAGGTTGTTGCTTTCTCAGCCTGATATTCCTGTGACTACAGGCTTGATATCACTTCAGTCGCAGCTCTGTTCTCCATTCATAGGGTTTACCCTTGCCTCACCTTTTCCCCATGGATGTGGTCTCTGTATGTGACGTAGGGTGTGGTTATTTCAGATCCTTATGGTTTCCTCATTGAGTGTTGTGCCCTGCTGTGGTTGTGCTTCTCCTAGTGTGCATGGTGCTTCGTTTGTGTCCTGCATGACCATCTGTTTATTGCATGCTTTGCTAATTGACCCTTTGATCAACACCTTGCATTATTTTGTCTATTAATGGAAGACCCTTTAAAACAGATTGAAGTAAATACTCCGTCATACACAGATATGACAATGCCAAATCTCTGGGAAAATGCACAGCTTTAGTGAATTAAACTTTTTCTCTGTTTATCTCCTTCCTACCAGTCGCCATGTACCTGGGGATCAGAAAGGGGAAAATAAAGACAGTAAACCCCGCTCCCTCAGATTCACTTGGAGTATGAGGACCACCAGCTCCATGGAGCCTTGTGACATCATGCGGGAGATAAGCAAGGTGCTCGAGGCCTACAACTGCGACTACGAACAGCAAGAGTGTTTCCTGCTGCTCTGTGTCCATGGCGATGGACATGCTGAGAACCTTGTCCAATGGGAGATGGAGGTGTGCAAACTGCCCCGCCTCTCCCTCAATGGCGTGAGATTCAAGAGGATATCAGGCTCATCCATCGCTTTTAAAAACATTGCTTCCAAAGTCGCCAACGAGTTAAAGCTATGAACAAAAAGGGTCAAACAATATCTAGAAAGTATTTAAGCTGTACAATCATTTTTTAAGAAAATACAGAGTATGTATTGAATTATGATAGATGTATAGAGTAATGCGTTTGGCAATAATCACTGAATTACTAATAACTACAGTATATAATCTGGTCATCACGAGTTGTATATGGTTTGTCATGCTGTGAAAATTGACCAAAATAGCATTTTAGTCTTTGATATTATTTATTTCATCTCATGAAAGTTAGTGTTTTCAATGTAAATAATGTATCTTACTTTCAAGACAGCTACACATTGTTATACTCCATTTTTCTTTTATATATGTACACTACCAGTCAAAAGTTTTAGAACACCTACTCATTCAAGGGTCTACATTGTAGAATAATAGTGAAGACATCACAACTATGAAATAACACATATGGAATCATGAAGTAACCAAAAAAGTGTTAAACAAATCAAAATATATTTTATATAGTAGCCACCCTTTGCCTTGATGACAGCTTTGCACACTATTGGCATTCTCTCAACCAGCTTCATGAGGTAGTCACCTGGAATGCATCTGGAAACCATAAAGCGCTATGATGAAACTGGCTGTCATGAGGACTGCCACAGGAATGGAGACCCAGAGTTACCTCTGCTGCAGAGGATAAGTTCATTAGATTTACCAGCCTCAGAAATTGCAGCCCAAATAAATGCTTCAGAGTTTAAGTAACAGACACATCTCAACATCAACTGTTCAGAGGGCACTGTGTGAATCAGGCCTTCATGGTCGAATTGCTGCAAAGAAACCACTACTAAAGGACACCAATAATGTGTCCTTTGGTCTGGAGTCCAAATTGGAGATTTTTGGTTCCAACCGCTGTGTCTTTGTGAGACGCGGTGTGGGTGAACGGATGATATCTGCATTTGTATTTCCCACTGTAAAGCATGGAGGAGGAGAAGGCGTTATGGTGTGCTGGTGACACTGTCTGTGATTTATTTAGAATTCAAGGCACACTTAACCAGCATGGCTACCACAGCATTCTGCAGTGATACGCCATCCCATCTGGTTTGGGCTTAGTGGGACTATCATTTGTTTTTCAAAAGGACAATGACCCAACACACCTCCAGGCTGTGTAAGGGCTATTTTACCAAGAAGGAGAGTGAAGAAGTGCTGCATCAGATGACCTGGCTTCCACAATCCCCTGACCTCAACCAAATTGAGATGGTTTGGGATGAGTCGGACCGCAGAGTGAAGGAAAAGCAGCCAACAAGTGCTCAGCATATGTGGGAACTCCTTCAAGACTGTTGGAAAAGCATTCCAGGTGAAGCTGGTTGAGAATGCCAAGAGTGTGAAAAGCTGTCATCAAGGCAAAGGGTGTCTATTTGAAAAATCTCAAATATAAAATATATTTTGATTTGTTTAACACTTTTGGTTACTACATGATTCCATATGTGTTATTTCATAGTTTTGATGTCTTCACTATTATTCTACAATGTAGAAAATAGTAAAAATAAAGAAAAACCCTTGAATGAGTAGGTGTTCTAAAACTTTTGTCTGGTAGTGTATATGTTTTTTGAAATTAGAGATGGAATTCATGTAAATGCTCACATGGTAAGATAACCGGTCTCAATAAAAATGTATGTAAACTTGACTCATGGCATATTTCAGTTCTAAATGAGGATGTACAACTTCACCGAAGATGGGAAAGACATAATAGAAACAAACATGGATTGAAACAGTTTTTTTATTTTCATGTTTTCAGATCCACTATCACAATGAAAGAGGACCTTGTGTGAGAGAGTAAGAGCTCTTTAATACAGAGTGCATTCCAGGATAGTGTCTCACATTCATTCAGATGACGAGGGGGAGGCAATCACAAGAGTTTTCACTTCTGGGCGGGCATGATGTCATCGATAGACTGGCCTTTCTCCAGCTTCTTCTCCATCTCAACCAGCAGCTTGACTCCGTCCACAACCATCTGCACCAGCTCCACCTCGGAGAAGCCCAGGCGATCGGCATTGGAGATGTCGAAGGTGCCACCCACGGCTGCGGTGTCCACTCCACCTGAAATAGAGACATCAGAAGAAGGACTTAAAGAAAAGATTCACCCATTTTGAACATGATATCGTTTTGGTGCATCTGAGCGATGTTCTATCGATTCCCGGGGTCATTTCATGTTTTCATGTGTATCTGAGCCATCACTGTGCAAGCAGGCAGAAATACAACCAGTATAATGAGTTTTGCATCATATGAGGGTATAACATTCTAAATGGGTGAATCTTTCCTTTAACATAGCTACAATACTCCTTTTAGAGGAATGCCAGCTTTAATGCTAGAACTATTGCCAGGGTTGGTCTTTCTACAGCCTTAATGTGCTTGTAAGTTACCCTGAGCAACAGAACAGCAAACAAACACAAAATTAGGTATCTGGTTCAGTGCTGGAACATTTTCTGTACCTGTTCCACGTTTCTGGAGCCTTAGCCTCTTGAGCACCTCCTCGAATTTGGCGTGCTTGCTCATGTTTGGGATCTTGACGTGGACTCCAGCACGCAGCCCTGTGCCCAGGTTGGATGGGCAGGTGAGCACGTAGCCTAAGTGCTCGTTCCACATGAATGAAGTGCCCTTATCTTTGAACAAGGTTTCAATCTGAGGAGGAAAAGATTGGGGGTCAAATTTTTACAAGAAAAGGAATACAAACATCGATTGATCATTGCCAGCATGTTTTCACACAGAGCATATGAATATGGCAATGGCAAATTATGATCCATATTTTCATTCATATATCATTCTCAAAGCCTTCTGAATGTATTTCTCAGAAATTCCCTCTCACCTTTGTGAGGCCAGTACAGAAACGGTTGAACACCTCCTTCATGTTGCCACCTTTCTGCATTGAGATGACACGCAGGTGGTCCTCCTCATTGACCCAGACCAGGAAGGTCTTGGTATCGTTGTGCCTTGACAGATTAGAATAAATAAATGTTCTATGGTCCTCTGACAAGGTCACCACTAGCATATCAACTATTGAGAACCTTTCCCTTCGACTTAGCAGAGATTGAGGTACACCTAGTTTGAGGGTAACTGAGAATTTCCTATCCCTTTTGGCAGTCATTTACTTGAATAGAGTAAGGTTGTAGAGGGTAGAAAGTAAGAATGACTTCAGTGAGTAAGAACAAAACCAAATTGTAATGCCTTTAAGAACATAAAGTATGGGAATGGGAAATCCCTGTCCTCTTACCAGATTCCCCTGCCATCGGGCCAGTCCCGGGCCATGCCAGAGGCCAGCAGCAGAGGAGACACAGGCTTGTCAAACAAGAAGTGGTCATCAATCAGCTGCTGCTGCTCGGCATCTGTCATGTTCTTAAGGGCGTAGTACTTCCCCTTCAGGTCACCAGACAGGGAGTCCAGAGCTGCAGAGGAACAGAGATGTTTCAGATACATTATCTGTGTCCGAGGATACTGGAAGAGTCTCCATTACGTGGCTTTCACCAATCTGGTGATCACGTTACAACCATTTGACCCCCGCGATGGGGTCCAATCCGGCCCATGGGTGGTTTGAATAAAACCACCTGCGGGTGGGGAAAAGATGAACCAAATTCGAAACTGTGTAGAAATGATAATGGACCTACATTCATACACTTTCTTGACTGTGTCCAGCTCGCTAATAATTACCTAAATGAAAGCTAGACAGTCAGGGAGCATCAAATTCAAAAAACGATGGATAGAGGAGCAATTTTTTTTTTATGTTGACGGCGAGTAAATATAACCAAATGCAGCCCCCGGGCAAAATGACTGACACTTCTGGTCTAAAGTGATCCTTTCCTGTCAGTAACAGACGTATAAATACAGTCACGTAGTTCACCACTAGAGGGGACTCTTTACACAGTAATGTTGCAACGGGGACCAGGCATCATTCTAGGCTGGCATCCACTCAGAGCCCCGGCCCCTATAGGTGGGATTAGGTGAGTACCTTCGACAGACATTTTCTCAACGCCCCTTCGCTCTCCACGGCTGCAGTGTGGGGGCAGACAGAACCCGCGGATGCTCCTTCCTGTTCGGACACGGGAGCTAAGGACGTAGTTGGGGTCCAGGTCATCTCCACCCTGTGAAAACAGACACCAAAGTTGAGTTCTGAGTTCTCTGTGACTTGTCAATACCGGTCTATGATTTCAGAAGGAACAAAACTCCACTACCCCCTACGAAGATCAATGGGGAATCAGTAGATAGAGTGACCATATATAAGTACCTGGGAATCGAAATAGACAATAAACTGAAATTCAATGACTGTGCCTTTGCAAAGATAAAGAAATTGCAAAATATAATGGTTTTTTTTACGCAAACTGAACCATTTTAATGTCGACCGCCATATCTTACAAATGTTCTATAAATCTGTCCTGCAGAGAGTGCTGTCCTTTGGTCTAATATGTGTGTTTGGAAACATGCAAGTGCAAGACCAAGTCAAGCTTCAGCGCTTGATTAAGACGGCGGGAAGGATAATTGGTATAGATCAAGAATCAGCCACCAACCTGTACACAAAACTCATCCTCCTAAAACTTGGAAGCATTTTACATGACATTACTCATCCCCTTCACTCAAAATTCAGTCACAGCAGCAGCCACACAAGGGGAAAGAGACTTCTTCAAAAGAAAATTAAAACAGATCGATATGGGGACTCTTTTATTCCAACAGCCATTAGGCTGTATATAATAGATAGTCTGTTGGTCCCTCTAGTACCCAGCATATTGCACTTTAACATTAAATGTGTAGCTATAGCACTTTGAATGAATTCTATTGTGTAGTTTCTATGTTTTCATGTACCGTCTTTTTAAGCACATGATCAAATGAATTTCCCCCTGGTGGGATAATGAAGTTGATCTGAATCTGAGTCTACTTCCCTGCAGGGTACACTGTTGAAAATGAGTCTCAGACCACTGTCAACCAGGGAGCCATTTAGAGGGCAGTACCTTCAGGTTGTCTGGGTTGAGGTCGGTCTTGTGCTTGTCTGTAGGCTTGTATCCTCCATGTCTGTCCTCGATGATGGGGTCCAGCAGCTCCTTGAAGACCTCGTATGTCTCCTCGTCTCCAGCCACACATCCCACAGTCATGATGAATGGATGGCCTGGAATGGGGGGAGAAAAATCAATCAGGGATGGATTCAATTAGGAGCATGATAATTGTAGAGCATGACAGATTAAACACAGTGACAACCTCACTCAATAATCAATGCTTAGCATTTCATCAAAATCTATACAGGCGGAGTCGACAGACTCAGGATGGGTTCGTTTTACCAGGATTATCAACCCCTGTCTGAATAACACCATCTATGGTGAAGCCGTTGGGGGTGGCACGGTCTCGGAGTTTGGTGAACATGTCCTGGGTTAAGACCTTGGCCATGTGGTTGTTGTGCTGGCTTAGGTCAGGGAACTCCTCCTCAGGTGACAGCCTCTTGATGGTCAGTTTGGCCATTTGATCATTGCTGAACAATAACAACAAACACACACATTCTACAGGGTAAGGGGAAGCCACCTGCTATGCTTAAAAATGCGTATGGACACAACTACTCAATTCCCCTCAAAAAGGGTTAGGCTATACTATTTTAGTTCATATGGAGTCACCAGATTATCACTAATTGCAGTGACAACCTATGATGATTTCCATATTGATAAGTTATTATTATGGTATGCTTGACCAACAAGCATTATTCCTAAGGGATGCTTGACCCCTGCTGGATAAAAGGTTATCTGAAACAAATCGATGCACCATTGTGCTTTGAGAGTTTGGTACAGATGCAGGCCAATGGAATACTTGCAACCTTCCACTTGATAACATACGTTCATAGGGTTATATTACCCATCGGCAAGGTTACCGTGCAGAACAAAATGGCATGAGCTCCTCCATAGCTGTGGCACTGGATGCCCTCACTAAACGCACTTTTAAGAGGCAGAACAGATGGCTTGATGGTTGAAAGCCGCTTGGGTCTTTACCTGGGTTATCAATCCCGGTTTGAATGACATCATCCAATGTAAATCCACTGGGCGTTTGTTTGCTCCTCAGACGCTCGTAGATGGCAGGAGTCAAGATCTTGGCCATATGATTATTGTGCTGGCTGAGATCTGGGTACTCTTCACTAGAAGCGTACTTCATCTTTAGCGCGTTGTGGGTGTTTCCGAACGGCATGGCTGATCCCTGGACGCAACACGGAGTGGAGCAAAAACTGGTGAATGTGATCTTGAAAATAGTACAAGTAGGCTTACGACATAATTCAGTCAAATACTTGGTTTTTATTATGAGGTGCGTGCGAGTGCAAGGCTGAAAATGCACACTGTGCAAAGTAGCGATCGCACCAAGGATGTTGGACCACAGTCACCGCACTGGCCGACAATATATAGTATATAGGCTACAGATGTCGACAGGCAGTTGATAAAGGAAAAAGGAACATTTTTCTCTAGAGGGGTGCAGTGATGCGCAGTAGCGTCATTCCAATCCAAATAACTATTTTATAGAGCTCTAGTCTGGAGTGGTAATTGCGTGTGATCATGTTGGAAATCATATCCAAATCACTCAGCCTCTGAAAGAATAATAGGTAGACTAGGCTATACGAGATTGTTACACGCTAAAGCAAGATTATCAAAATAACGGGGTCTCGCGCTCGATCAGGGGCAATATAAAATTGTTTGCATTGTCTATTGTTATCGAAATGTTCACGGAATATGAAAAATATATATGGATGGCCACAAATATCCAATCAAATTTGGCCTCTGCTAAAAACCAAGTATTTGCTCAGTCACAATGGGCTGATTTGGGGTTAAAACGACTGATGCCATTCTGATCAATGAATGTCATCCTCGAACGAGTAGAAATAGTGGTCCTACCTGCTGCGGAGGCTGGTCACTACTAGGGGGAAGACACAAAGATCCCTATTTTTCCGACCGTGGCGAGCAATCACCAACGTTATTTGGCTCTCCCGTAGAAAATGTTCTTTGGAGATGGTTCTTTATAGTAGGCGAACTCGGCTCCCATTGGTCAGTATTTGTAGGCCATTCATTCTATTTGTCGACTATAAGGCTATACGAGATTGCAGTTTTCACATGTTCCCTTGGTCTTTCTTTACCAATGATGTAGCCTATATAAACCCTGGATTGCTGCTGATGCTATGCATTGGCCATTGTGAGGCTTTGAAGCCACGGGTCGGCCATATTGGCACTTCTCAGTAGGCGCAGTTCTCCATAGGAATTAATGGAATTCTACAGTATTTCAATTCAATGTTTCAAGGACAAAATTACATGTATTTAAGTATTTTTTATAGTGGGGACAGTAACAATAGAGCAGTTCCATGGTAAGGCCAACCTGAGCATGAAAAAACGAAATAGCTTATTTCCTAATTAAACTACTTTCATATTTACCTTGAATGTGTGTATTTTGAAGTAAAGACTACATTTGACCTTTATTTTTGCCAAATTGAATGCTATTGTTACTAGAACGTAGGATACAAAGTCTCAAAATAAGTACTTTCAGTCAACCAGATTTCATAGCTTTTGGCAATGGCTCACAGAACTTGTTTTGGTACTCACATCTGTCACCCTGTGTTTCTGACCAAGTCGGAAGGTTAATGAAACAATATCAAACGAATTTTTGTCCATTGAGTACTAGCATATAATTCTACAGTCTAGTGAAGATAGAACGCTGATTTTTACAGGCAGTGTCACATTCGTAACGTTTTTGAAGAAAATATTGTTATTGTGTTTGACTATGATTGTATGCAAACTTTCTGTGCAAAGCTAACTTTCATCAAGGGCTTAGGTGATGTATAATTGGTTTCCTTTCTCTCTCTGTCAGTACTCCTTCTAAGCGTAAAGGATGTGACCGTTATGGACGCTTCATAACATGATCAATGACTCACTAGTCAGAATCACTGCATAACGCCATCATGATAAAATGTCCATGCCCTTCCTATTGCTTCCGAAGTGTGTTTATGTTAGCAATGAAGCTAGCGGGCAATCTTTATTGGTGTGTGTGTGTGTGTGTGATCTATTTCAGGTGTGCTCAAATTCCAAGTTCTCATCTGAACTGCAATCATGCATTGTTCTACTAACTGGAGCATTGCATATGATCAAATGGCATAATAAAGGTATTCAATTCATAAACATAATTAGGGTCTTTAAAATCCATAATAAAATTTCACCGGTAACGCTGAGTTTGTTTACTTCAATGAGTAAGTAAGGGTACCCTCCAGTGACAATATTGGTCTGTATCTGTGTAGTCTGCAGCTGTCAAGCCTGAGGTAATTTACGATCTGACAATAAATGTCTACGAAAGCGCAAACCCTGTGCCACTGGTAGGTTATAATTCAATAACACTTATTTCTTTTTTTTACCATTTCACGTAACGAAAATTAAGAAGTTCAACCCTTATAGGAAAGACATCAACATAATGACATGTCAATATATAGTAGCGATGATAAGGGATGAGTGAGGAATGAGTCCAGCTAGCTCAAATAAACAAGGGAATGAAATGTGTGTATCAATCCCTGAGTCTAGGGTTAGAGTTATACACTGAGTCTACAAAACATTAAGAACACCTTTTCTTTTCATGGCATACACTGACCAGGTGAATCCAAGTGAAAGCCATGATCCCTTATTGATGTCACTTGTTAAATCCACTTCAAATCAGTGTAGATGAAGGGGAGGAGACAGGTTAAATAAGTATTTTTAAGCCTTGAGACAATTGAGCCTTGAGACAATTAAGTAGGAAGGTGTTCCTAATGTTTGGTATACTCATTGGATATACAGGCAGTTTGTGGGGCTGTTAACAAATAGACTGACTCTGATGCTGTTGACCACACAGGATGTGTGTACATCTTGCCAGCCAAGGATGACAAGGCTTGGGTGGCTGCAGGTCAAGTTGTCCAGTCCCTGTGTCCTTTTGTGGACTACAGGGGTAGGAGGTACCATTCCATAGAGCCTGTGCTGGCAGATTAAAGGGTGTGAGATTAATACAAAGCATGTGTTTATTTAAAAAAAAAACTGGTTTTTGAGGTACACTGCGTTTTCAGATGACAACAAAAGTATTATGATGAAGTTCGGTGAATAAATCTTTAATATAAAAACACTTATTTTGCACAGTGTCACATCCATAACGGAGAATGTCACATCTATAATGATAAATATTCCTCTCTAAAGTATATATATATGACAATGTTTATATTTTCATCATTGTTGTTTTTGTGTGTAACCAAGCTTTACTTTCAAAGTGGCTATTAATATTTGTACCCTAAGAGATTCACAGACTTTTGCTGATGTGTCCAATCTCCCAAAAATGCCTGTCCATTTCCGTCACATCCATAACGCAAGTTTTGTTGTTCCGTTACTTCAAAGTGGTATTACTTAGAATTTTGTAATTTTGTGTCTACACTTCCCTAGGGTTCTACAAATATACACATTAACATTTTCATTTATGCCAATTCTGTGAGACATTTTGTTTCTCATTTTGTGTGCAAATGTCACATCCATAACGCTGGAATTGCCCAATAGTAATTGAAAATATATATACTTTAAGGAAAATATGTTTTATGTTTAGCTCACATAATATAATTTTAAAGTATGCATTAAGGTGTCTGTAATAGAATACATGTTGCAAAACCGAATGTAGACATTAATACATGCATTTCTTTCTATAGCTTCCTAAATATGTTTTTACCAAGGCGTAGGTAGGAGTGCAAAGATGGTGGTGCGGTGGCTTCAACAGAGCGTCTAGTCATCTAGTGTATATATAAATAATTGGTAATTACACATTTTCTCTTGAATTTAAATGGGTGATTTTTACCCCAATGTTAAATTATATGAACTTCTTTGGCTCATGTAAATTGGCCTAACCAGAGCCATATATATAGACTCTGGGCCTAAATAACTGTTCTTTGCTAAAACTGTTTGCAATTCCTAGGGATTCATAAACAAATGTAGGACTATGATTATGATTTCCAGTTAATTTATTGTTCTGCCTTTTTAAGAAATGCCATACGTCATCAACTGGCGCCTGCACATCTCAGCTGTTGAAAAGCATGTAAAGCGCCGCATTTGCGCGTTTTTACAGATTTACATATAATCTGAACTGCCTAATTCATTGCGCGATTCATGATTACTGCGAAAGCGAATAGTGTAAATGTTTGTGAACAGGAGCCTCGTCTGGTCAGTCTGATGCTCTAACAAATCCACACGTGAGCTCTGCAGCATGTGAACAGCAAGTAACAAGTCCCAATTGATCATCAACCTCTCAACATTGCTAGAAATCACTTCGATCAATTAATTACATTTTGCTTTTATAGTTTCAAGTACCTAGCTACATTTCATAAGGTATGTCAAAGTTTGCTCGCTAATGTTCATTGCCTAACGAATGGCGTCAGATGTAAAAAAAAAAAAAAAAAAAAAAGCTAGCTAGCTAACCATTGAGATACGTTTTGCACGGTGAAGTTGCCGAATAGTGGATTTGGAAAAGCAAGATTAGCTAGCTATTTTTGTTGTTGGCGAATCAAGCTATCGTTAACGTTAACTTAGTTTGTTAACGTTAACGTTAACGTTAACTAAATTGACTAAAGTTAGCTCGCTACCTAACTGTTTAAAATGTAATTTATCTAACGTTAGCTAGCTACAGTAGTTACCTAAATTGATATGTTAATTTCGTAGCTAGCTCGCTAGTAAGTAATCTTAACTAGCGTTATGTATTTTAAAATTCACAAACTACTTTCCACTTACAGTTTCTTCATATTGTCCGCCAGTCACACTGAAGTGTTTCTCCACTGTTCTTCGAAAATAAACAACTGAAACAGTTTAGAATAATTAAATCATGCTTGTTTTCAAAACAAAATAACAAACGCCAGTACAGTGCACGCACGTGTGAGCGTTCGAATGAGTATGAAAGTAAACAATCCCATTTTGGAGGGATTTTGATCATCTTTGACAGACCACATTTGTCCATTTAAAATTACATTTTCAACTTGCATAGAAGAGGCAGGAGTGATTTCACCTAAACGATGAGCTAATGTCGCCCAATACATTAATCGAACTTGTATTAATTTGTGAAAAGGATGTTCTGGTTGTCATGGGGGACAAGTTAACTAGTTTCCACTCATTTTGACTTATTGTCTTTGTAGTGAAAACATCAAGACAAACTCTTCACTTTGGTTCCCCCTTGTAGACCACCGTGATAGAAGTCAAACAAGGCCTGCCATGAGTTTTGTGGAGTATTCAGAGTTTATCCAGGAGGGTGATGTTGCAATTATCTTCCTGGGGCATGACTCAATGATGCCAGTCAAGGTGCAGCAGGGTGCCCAAACACAAACACGCTACGGAGTCGTCCGCCACTCGAAAGACCTGATAGGCCAGCGCTTTGGCACAAAGGTCACCTGTAGCAAAGGTGGCTGGGTCTATGTGCTGCACCCCACCCCTGAGTTGTGGACCCTCATCCTGCCCCACCGCACCCAGATCCTCTACACAACAGACATTGCCAACATCACCATGATGCTGGAGCTGAAGCCTGGCTCTGTCGTCTGTGAATCAGGTGAGACCTGCTGAATCAGCCAAAACCTGCTGTTTTCCAACTATATGTATGCTACTTTATCTGAGGACATGAGTCATTTGAATCTTTCCCAAACTTCACCCATTGCACTGAATAGTTGATTAGCGAACTCATACAGTAGAAAGGATTGCCTGTTTCATGTTCCCTGTAGGAGAGGGACACAGATAATGAGAGAAGATCTGGAGGAGGAATTTGTCATAGAGTAGTGGTAAACCACTCAAAAACAAACAGCTAAATGTGACGCCAATTATTCTTCGAACAGAGAGGTCATTAAGCGAAAGCTCCCACTCAAGAGCCGAGGGAAGTGGTGGGGACATCACACTTAGCTTTTGGTGACGCACGCCAAGTTGTCATGATTACAATAGTTGAAAAAAGACATTGTCTGTTTTCATTGGGTCACACGTCACATATTTACCTTGAGGCCTGTTGAAATTACGCTCTTTCTTTTAAAGCAGAGAGAAACCTTGTTGGGGTTTTACATCCCATGTCTTCGACTTAGGTTGCTTACAGGTATCAAATCCTACTTCGACATTCATTATTAACCTATTCAGTTAAGCAGTCAGTTATTTATGTTAATGACCTGAACTAGACTTGAAATGGAACACCACAGTAGTACCATCTAGAAATCTTCCCCCAGTAAGGAGTGTCCACTGGTTGAATTCAATGCAGAAGTAAAGTGATTGTGTGTGGGTGGTTAATGGATGGTGACGCAGTCTGGGCTGAGTACGTGTCTGGCTAGGAAGGTCTGGGGGCAGACGGCTGCTCTTGCCGCAGTGCTTCATCATGTTTAACTGCTGTGCTGTTCCTTCCTTCCCAGTCCACGGGTTATAGATGGAACACCAGTAAATGTGTGAAAACTCCCAGACGGCATATCGATGAACAAAACTGCTTGGTCAGCCCCTGGCATAATGGGGAGCTGCAACATGTCTGCAGTGTTGTCACGTTTCTCAGCCTTTTCATGTGGGTGTTTACTCCGCTTTGAAAAAGGTCTGGCTCCAAAACATACACACAGGGGGCAAAAAGCTGAGGCATTACTACAATGCACCATTGCATGCGGAGTCATTTTTGTTGGTTGGTTTTGAACTGGTGTAATATAATGTAGCCTAATTGAGTGATGAAAGACCCCCAATGTACCAACCTGTCATGTGGACCACCTTCCCTCTCATTAGATTTCATTATGTGTTTTTGGCATTGAAACCATGTTTCACTCTGTAGAAAATAAATACTTATTGGATGTCTGGTCAGATGTCATTCCTAAATGTTGATCATACTGACTGACAAGACTATGAAAGCTTATCAACTGATTAGATGTAGAATCTACTTTATTACCTGCTAATACATGAACACTGGATAACGACAATAAGCCTATCTAAGCGTTACTCGTCCACTGCCCCATAATCTCAGGGGTGACTTATATTTTGTGTCCTGAGAGTGACTTTGGGAATGAGCTATGTAAACAGGCAGTGATTATCAGTTGGCTGTTCTGAGCACACCATGTGTTATAGGGGGAATGCACAGTCACTTAGAGGAGTCATCTAGATTGCGCTGAAGGTCGCCATTATAGCCCCAGCCCTAGCACAAGGTCTCATGTTCTGCTGCTTCTCATGTCATTGTTTAATTTCTTCTTTCTTCTCTGACCAGGCTCCATCCTGTTGCCAGGAATAGATTAGAACTCTTGATAGGAGTCCCAGGTCTGGGGTGTTTTTATCAATGCTGGCCTTATGGGAAAGCTAATGGGTGCTCACTGCTCAGAGCCTCTGAAGAAGATGCCAAATGCAGCCTTCTTGTTACCCAATCAGGTGGCACCCTCATGGTGGGCATGGGCTGAGTGCCAGTGCTTATGGCCATTTTGTAAGATGGGGAGAGACTTTGGGCTCTTGTCCTGCCGCTCATCCTCCTCAGGCAGCAGAAATGTGCAATGTCTCTTACATTTACATTTTAGTCATTTAGCAGATGCTTTATCCAGAGCGACTTAGTTAGTGCATTCATCTTAAGATAGCTAGGTGGGACACCCACATCACAGGCATAGTAAGTACATTTTTCCTCAATAAAGTAGCTATCAGCAAAGACATGGTCAAGTTAAAGTGTTGGTTCAGGAATGTTTTTTGGGGGGATTATTTAAGAAACTCTTTGAAGAGGTAGGGTTTCAGGTGCTTTCTGAAGATGGTCAGGGACTGTGCTGTCCTGGCTTCAGGGGGAAGCTGGGTCCACATTGGGGTCCCAGGACAGAGAAGAGCTTGGTCTGGGCTGTGCGGGAGCTGCCATCCCATAGGACCAGTGGTGGCAGAATGGTGTGCTCGGTTGGGGTGTAGGGTTTGAGCATAGCCTGAAGGTAGGAAGGGGCAGTTCCTCTTGCTGCTCCGTAGGCAAGCACAATGGTCTTGTAGTGGATGCGAGCTTCAACTGGAAGCCAGTGAAGTGTGCAGAGGAGCGGGGTGACATGGGAGAACTTGGGAAGGTAGAAAACCAGGCTGGCTGCAGCATTCTGGATAAGTTGCAGGGGGTTGATGGCACAAGCGGGGAGCCCAGCCAACAGCGAGTTGCAGTAGTCGAGATGGGAGATGACAAGTAACTGGACAGTCAAGTTCACACATTAGCAAACCATACTCACAGATGGTGCTCTATCCCTCAGTCTTGTCCTCTTTCGCTCTCATTCAGTCTTTGTCTCTGGCTCTCACATGGCAGGCTTATTAAATGAACAAGGCCGCTCTCGTAACCACTGGAAGATGAAAATGGCATGTCCTCAGTGCACGCCATGCTTAAAATTTGCAGAACAAATAGGCCTTCACATGTACTTTGTGAAGAATGTTCCTGCTTGGTAGTACAATGGAAGGTGACTGGATGTTTTAGATACTTGCGATTTGAAGCTGTCACCTTAGTGCGTAAGGATTGTCGTAGTACAACATCACACACTTGAATAGGATTTGAGCAGAGTTGTGAATGAAATTAGGCAGTAAACTACACTGAACAAAAATATAAACACAACATGTAAAGTGTTTGTCCCATGTTTCATGAGCTGAAATAAAATATCCTTAAAATGTTCCATACACACACAAAGCTTATTTCTCTCAAATGTTGTGCACAAATTTGTTTACAACCCTGTTAGTGAGCATTTCTCCTTTGCCAAGATAATCCATCCACCTGACAGGTGTGGCATATCAAGAAGCTGATTAAACAGCATGATCATTACACAGGTGCACCTTGTGCTGTGGACAATAAAAGGCCACTCTAAAATGTGCAGTTTTGTCACACAACACAATGCCACAGATGTCTCAAGTTTTCAGGGAGCGTGCAATTGGCATGCTGATTGCAGGAATGTCCACCAGAGCAGTTGCCAGAGAATTGAATGTTAATTTCTCTAAGCCGCCTCGTAATTTGGCAGTACGTCCAACTGGCCCCACAACCGCAGACCACGTGTATGGCGTCAGGTGGACGAGCGGTTTGCTGATGTCAACGATTTGAACCGAGTGCCCCATGGTGGGGTTATGGTATGGGCAGGCATACAGTGCATTCGGAAAGTATTCAGACCCCTTGACTTTTTCCACATTTTGTTATATTACAGCCTTATTCTAAAATTGATGAAATTGGTTTTTTCCCCCTCATCAATCTACACACTACCCCATAATGACAAAGCAAAAACAGTTTTTTAAAGAAATTTTTGCAAATTATAAAATAAAATAAAAGCTATCACATTTACTTAAGTATTCAGACCCATTACTAAGTACTTTGTTGAAGCACCTTTGGCAGCGATTACAGCCTCGAGTCTTCTTTGGTATGATGCTACAAGCTTGGCACACCTGTATTTGGGGAGTTTCTCCCATTATTCTCTGCAGATCCTCTCAAGCTCTGTCAGGTTGGATGGGGAGCGTCGCTGCACAACTATTTTCAGGTCTCTCCAGAGATGTTCGATCGGGTTCAAGTCCGGGCTCTGGCTGGGCCACTCAAGGACATTGAGACTTGTCCCGAAGCCACTCCTGAATTGTCTTGTCTGTGTTATTAAGGTTGTTGTCCTGTTGGATTGGGAACCTTCGCTCCAGTCTGAGGTCCTGAGCGCTCTGGAGCAGGTTTTCATCAACCATCTCTCTGTACTTTGCTCCGTTCATCTTTCCCTCAATCCTGACTAGTCTCCCAGTCCCTGCCGCTAAAGAACATCCACACAGCATGATGCTGCCACCACGCTTCACCGTAGGGATGGTGCCAGGTTTCTTCCAGACGTGATGCTTGGCATTCAGGCCAAAGAGTTCGATCTTGGTATCATCAGAGAATCTTGTTTCTCATGGTCTGAGATTCCTTTAGGTGCCTTTTGGCAAACTCCAAGTGGGCTGTCTTGTGCCTTTTACTGAGGAGTGGCTTCTGTCTGGCCACTCTACCATAAAGGCCTGATTGGTGTAGTGCTGCAGAGATGGTTGTCCTTCTGGAAGGTTCTCCCATCTCCACAGAGGAACTCTGGAGCTCTGTCAGTGACCATCGGGTTCTTGGTCACCTCTCTGACCAAGGCCCTTCTCCCCCGATTGCTCAGTTTGGCCGGGCAGCCAGCTCTAAGAAGAGTCTTAGTGGTTCCAAACTTCTTCCATTGAAGAATGATGGAGGCCACTGTGTTCTTGGGGACCTTCAATTCTGCAGACATTTTTTGGTACCCTTCCCCAGATCTGTGCCTCGACACAATTCTGTCTCGGAGCTCTACGAACAATTCCTTCGACCTCATGGCTTGTTTTTTTCTCTGAGGTGCACTGTCAACTGTGGGACCTTATATAGACAGGTGTGTGCCTTTCCAAATCATGTCCAATCAATTGAATTTACCACAGGTGGACTCCAATCAAGTTGTAGAAACATCTCAAGGATGATCAATGGAAACAGGATGCACCTGAGCTCAATTTCAAGTCTCATAGCAAAGGGTCTGAATGACTCGCAATTAAATGGCTCAGACACGAGACGTATGTGACAGGGTCTACAGACAATCACGGACTACAAAAGGAAAACCAGCCACGCCGCGGACACCGACGTCTTGCTCCCGGACAAGCTAAACACCTTCACCCGCTTTGAGGATAATGCAGTGCCACCGACGCAGCCCGCTACCAAAGACTCTGGGCTCTCCTCCTCCATGGCCGACGTGAGTAAGACATTTAAGCGTGTTAACCCTCGCAAGGCTGCTGGCCCAGATGGCATACCTAGCCGTGTCCTCAGAGCATGCGCAGACCAGCTGGCTGGTGTGTTTACGGACATATTCAATCTCTCCCTATCCCAGTCTGCTGTCCCCACATGCTTCAAGATGGCCACCATTGTCCCTGTACCCAAGAAAGCAAAGGTAACTGAACTAAATGACTATCGCCCGTAGCACTCACCTCTGTCATCATGAAGTGCTTTGAGAGACTAGTCAAGGATCATATCACCTCTACCTTACCTGCCACCCTAGACCCACTTCAATTTTCTTACTGCCCCAATAGATCCACAGATGATGCAATCGCCATCACACTGCACACTGCCCTATCCCATCTGGACAAGATGAATACCTATGTAAGAATGCTGTTCATTGACTATATCTCAGCATTCAACACCATAGTACCCTCCAAGCTCATCATTAAGCTTGAGGCCCTGGGTCTGAACCCCGCCCTGTGCAACTGGGTCCTGGACTTCCTGACGGGCTGATCCTCAACACTTGGGCCCCACAAGGGTGCATGCTCAGCCGCCTCCTGTACTCCCTGTTCACCCATGACTGCATGGCCAAGCATGCCTCCAACTCAATCATCAAGTTTGCAGACGACACAACAGTAGTAGGCTTGATTACCAACAATGATGAAACAGCCTACAGGGAGGAGGTGAGGGCTCTGGGAGTGTGGTGCCAGGAAAATAACCTCTCACTCAACGTCAACAAAACAAAAGAGATGATCGTGGACTTCAGGAAACAGCAGAGGGAACACCCCCCTATCCACATCGATGGGACCGCAGTGGGGAAGGTGGAAAGCTTCAAGTTCCTCAGCGTACACATCACTGACAAATTGAAATGGTCCACCCACACAGACAGTGTGGTGAAGAAGGCGCAACAGCACCTCTTCAACCTCAGGAGGCTGAAGAAATTCGACTTGGCACCTAAAACCCTCACAAACTTTTACAGATGTACAATTGAGAGCATCTTGTCGGGCTGTATCACCTCCTGGTACGGCAACTGCACTGCCCGCAACCGCAGGGCCCTCCAAAGGGTGGTGCGGTCTGCCCAACACATCACCGGGGGCAAACTACCAGGACACCTACATCACCTGATGTCACAGGAAGGCCAAAAAGATCAAGAACAACAACCAGCCGAGCCACTGCCTGTTCACCCTGCTATCATCCAGAAGGCGAGGTCAGTACAGATGCATCAAAGCTGGGACCGAGAGACTGAAAAACAGCTTCTATCTCAAGGCCATCAGACTGTTAAATAGCCATCACTAGCCCATTAGAGGCTGCTGCCTATATACATAGATTAGAAATCACTAGCCACTTTAATAAATGGAACAATAGTCACTTTAATGTTTACATATCTTGCATTACTCATCTCATATGTATATACTGTATTCTATACTATTCTACTTTATCTTAGTCTAGCCTCTCTGTCTATTTTTTTTATATTCTTAATTCCATTGCTTTACTTAGATTTGTGTGTATTGCATATACAGTGGGGAGAACAAGTATTTGATACACTGCCGATTTTGCAGGTTTTCCTACTTACAAAGCATGTAGAGGTCTGTAATTTTTATCATAGGTACACTTCAACTGTGAGAGACGGAATTTAAAACAAAAATCCAGAAAATCACATTGTATGATTTTAAAGTAATTAATTTGCATTTTATTGCATGACATAAGTATTTGATACGTCAGAAAAACAGAACTTAATATTTGGTACAGAAACCTTTGTTTGCAATTACAGAGATCATACGTTTCCTGTAGGTCTTGACCAGGTTTGCACACACTGCAGCAGGGATTTTGGCCCACTCCTCCATACAGACCTTCTCCAGATCCTTCAGGTTTCGGGGCTGTCGCTGGGCAATACGGACTATCAGCTCCCTCCAAAGATTTTCTATTGGGTTCAGGTCTGGAGACTGGCTAGGCCTCTCCAGGACCTTGAGATGCTTCTTACGGAGCCACTCCTTAGTTGCCCTGGCTGTGTGTTTCAGGTCGTTGTCATGCTGGAAGACCCAGCCACGACCAATCTTCAATGCTCTTACTGAGGGAAGGAGGTTGTTGGCCAAGATCTCGCGATACATGGCCCCATCCATCCTCCCCTCAATACGGTGCAGTCGTCCTGTCCCCTTTGCAGAAAAGCATCCCCAAAGAATGATGTTTCCACCTCCATGCTTCACGGTTGGGATGGTGTTCTTGGGGTTGTACTCATCCTTCTTCTTCCTCCAAACACGGCGAGTGGAGTTTAGACCAAAAAGCTCTATTTTTGTCTCATCAGACCACATGACCTTCTCCCATTCCTCCTCTGGATCATCCAGATGGTCATTGGTAAACTTCAGACTGGCCTGGACATGCGCTGGCTTGAGCAGGGGGACCTTGCGTGCGCTGCAGGATTTTAATCCATGACGGCGTAGTGTGTTACTAATGGTTTTCTTTGAGACTGTGGTCCCAGCTCTCTTCAGGTCATTGACCAGGTCCTGCCATGTAGTTCTGGGCTGATCCTTCACCTTCCTCATGATCATTGATGCCCCACGAGGTGAGATCTTGCATGGAGCCCCAGACCGAGGTTGATTGACCATCATCTTGAACTTCTTCTATTTTCTAATAATTGGGCCAACAGATGTTGTCTTCTCACCAAGCTGCTTGCCTATTGTCCTGTAGCCCATCCCAGCCTTGTGCAGGTCTACAATTTTATCCCTGATGTCCTTACACAGCTCTCTGGTCTTGGCCATTGTGGAGAGGTTGGAGTCTGTTTGATTGAGTATTTGGACAGGTGTCTTTTATACAGGTAACGAGTTCAAACAGGTGCAGTTAATACAGGTAATGAGTGGAGAACAGGAGGGCTTCTTAAAGAAAAACTAACAGGTCTGTGAGAGCCGGAATTCTTACTGGTTGGTAGGTGATCAAATACTTATGTCATGCAATAAAATGCAAATTAATTACTTAAAAATCATACAATGTGATTTTCTGGATTTTTGTTTTAAATTCCGTCTCTCACAGTTGAAGTGTACCTATGATAAATATTACAGACCTCTACATGCTTTGTAAGTAGGAAAACCTGTAAAATCGGCAGTGTATCAAATACTTGTTCTCCCCACTGTATGTTGTGAAATTGTTAGATATTACTTGTTAGATATTACTGCACTGTCGGAGCTAGAAACACAAGCATTTTGCTACACCCGCAATATCTGCTAAACACGCGTATGTGACCAATAAGATTTGATTTGGATAAGGTATTTCTGTTTAGATTTTTGTATAAATGTGCAAAAATTTCTGAAAACCTGTTTTCACTTTGTCATTATGGGGTATTGTGTGTAGATTGATGAGGGGAAAAATGAACACAATTGCATTTTATCGATGGCAATTTGAATGCCCTGAGATACGTGACGAGATCCTGAGGCCCATTCTTCTGCCATTCATCCGCCGCCATCACCTCATATTTCAGCATGATAATGCACGGCCCCATCTGGCAATGATCTGTACACAGTTCCTGGAAGCTGAAAATGTCCCAGTTCTTCCATGGCCTGCATACTCACCAGACATGTCACCCATTGAACATGTTTGGGATGATCTGGATCGTCGTGTACGACAGCGTGTTCTAGTTCCCGCCAATATCCAGCAATTTCGCACAGCCATTGAAGAGGAGTGGGACAACATTCCACAGGCCACAATCAACAGCCTGATCAACTCTATGCGAGGGAGATGTCGCGCTGCATGAGACAAATGGTGGTCATACCAGACACTGACTGGTTTTCTGATCCACGCCCCTACCTTAAAAAAATATATATATATGTATCTTTGACCAACAGATGCATATCTTTATTCCTAGTCATGTGAAATCCATAGATTAGGGCCTAATACATTTATTTGAATTGACTGATTCCCTTATATGAACTGTAACTCAGTAAAATCTTTTGAAATTGTTGCATGTTGCGTTTTAAATGTTTGTTCAGTATACAAAGCCTTGGAAATGGCTTACCATGCAGTAACACCCCACACACAGCATCTCTACCCACACACAACATCATACTACAGTAGTAGTATCCTTTCATTTAGACCCTTCGTATACAGTCTTTGTTTAGACCAGACACTTGTCATCCAGTTGAAGGTCCAGGAGAGAGTCTAGTAGTAGTACAGCTCTCAACTCCTCTGCTGTGCCCCTGGCTCTGACGTCAGTCATCCGCTTGGTCGACTGGCGTGGCGTTTAGCATGTCAATGTGCCGCTGTGGGGTAAACATTGCCCCCATTGTTGCCATGAGAACAAAAGTAGCAGTGACGCAATGTCAGGAGGGGGAGGAGGAAGGGGCAATGTAACCCATCGCCATGTCCCCCTGCCCTGTCACATGATCACTTCAGATGCGATCAGACAACTGCGGTTATTGTTGTGGTCATATGACACTCCAAGATTTGATTACTCTTTTGATGCTCGCACAACTACACACACTGTACTACTGTACATCAGACACGTTGATTTGACTATAATGACATGAGCATGGAAGCAACTCTGTATTGATATGTTTAATACATATCAGTTGTTGTGAAAGCCCCAGTCGTCGTCTATGACAGGATTTCCCAAACTCAGTCCTGGCCTTTTGCCCTAGCACTACACAGCTGATTCAAATAATCAAAGCTTGATGATGAGTTGGTTATTTGAATCAGCTGTGTAGTGCTATGGCAAAAACCAAAACGTGCACCCAGGGGGGGCCCCAGGACTGATTTTGGGAAACCCTGATCTGACACCACCACTGCTACTAGTCTCTTAACCCATTCCCTGTATGTTTTGTTTGAAGGTACGGGCAGCGGCTCTCTGTCCCACGCCATCCTGCGCACCATCGCGCCAACGGGCCATCTACACACTGTGGAGTTCCACCAGCAGCGTGCTGAGAAGGCGGCGGAGGAGTTCAGGGAGCACCGCGTAGACCACCTGGTCACCGTCCGTAACCAGGACGTCTGCAAGGAGGGCTTTGGAGTGACTGGGGTGGCAGACGCTGTCTTCCTGGACATCCCCTCCCCCTGGGAGGCCATCAGACATGCCAAGAACGGCATGAAGAGGCAGGGTAAGAAGGGGTATGTGTGTGCATGTGTAGAATCAGCCAGGAACTTGGTCCAGAGAACGTCACTTTGGCTTGTCGACTCAGGAGTCCCAGCCAACCTTTGTTCTCTGGCTGTGCAGTGCAGTACACTCAGTGCCATATTGGATATTAATCCGGGTCAGCAGAGCTCTCATTAAATGTGCCCTTGGCTCGGCTCACGTGTGTTCCTCTCTGTTTGTTACTTCCTTGTCACACAGATGCAGAATAACGTGACCTGATTAAAGAGCATGCAGTGGTCTCCATGGAGTTCAGGACCCATGTGAAGTGGGGACAGGCCTGGGCAGGTTGGCAGCTTAGTGGGGTGGTCAGTGTGTGTGTGTGTGTGCGTGCATGCGTGACTGTGTGTATGGGCTAAAGGTGGGACATGTGTAGAATACATCACAGGGTTATGAAGTATTCACATAGTGCCCTAGCCTAGTACAGTTACTTACTTGGGATCGCTGGTTTATAAACAGCTTTATAAAAGATTGAGTTTATTTTTATAATCCCAAGGTGCATAAACAGATGGAATGTGGGACATGGACTAGTAACGGTGCAGAGAGACTCCAGCACCCTTTCCTACCTTCTCTCCCGTGTTAGACATTTCAGAACTCCCTTTTATGGTTTCGCATCTGCATTTTCCTCTCTAGCCATCTGACTCCCCCTTACACACACAGCCACAAGCAAACAGACAGATATCTGGATATAGAATCAGTCTCATGACCATAAATGGTTATGTGCTGCAGGGAGAGGTAGCTTGAGTCTCCTTTAGGCAAGGCACAATTTATTTCCTCTGTTCAGGGCTGAGACACTGGAGTCCGTCTCTCTCTCACACTCATCTAGAGGACTGAACACTATGGAGCCGTCTCTCTCAATGCTTCAGCCAAGGGCATCTAGCAGTTGACATTTGACCAGTCAATTATACCGCCCCTGTGAGCTTCACATGCTCCTGTACAGTCCTTGTGTAACCACTAATAAAGGTGAATTCCGTACATTTTCCTTTCCCTGCTTTAGATTTGGTCTATAGTATCTGAGAACTAGGGTAGGCCCCGTGTAGCTCAGTTGGTAGAGCATGGCGCTTGCAACGCCAGGGTTGTGGGTTCGTTTCCCACGGGGGGCCAGTATGAAAAAATGTATGCACTCACTAACTGTAAGTCGCTCTGGAAAAGAGCGTCTGCTAAATGACTAAAATGTAAATGTAAAATGTAAGGGAAAGAATATGGAGCAGTCTTTTTTCTTTATTTCTTTCTCTCTGTAATTATTTTCATTTTTTGGCCAGTGGCCTGCACCTTTTATTTAGAGAAGCTGTGCTCAGAGGACCGTGGATCCTGGCGCAGACCCTCCTGCCCCCTCCTCCTCTGGTTGCCAGGAGACATGGGCCGATTGGGGCTGTGTTTAGAGCTGTCCAGAGAGAAGAGCTGCTCTTATTTGTTAATGGAACGCCGTAATCTGAAAGATCCCAAGTGTCCAACACTAGACATTGGCTGTGTCCGAAATCTGGCTTGCCTACTACTTACTTAAACTGCGTACTAATCGTACTACATACTATTTAGAACATACTGTTTAGTAAAATCGAATGCAGTAAGTAAGGAATATCAGCATACTAGGCTCATCCTACTGAGAGTACGTCATCTAATGCACAATTGCGTTGATTCCCGCCATTCGTTCATTTTGGTACAGTGTGTCCCCTCAGCTGTTGTCAGGCATACATGGGTCTCGAAAGACAATTCTCTTCCTCAATAGTGTGCAGCGAATTCTACTAGATGAAAAGACGAAAAGAGTATGACATCCTGGCATCTAAAGCAGAATTTCACATACGATAAACATTTATTTTTTCGGATATCCAAAATGCCTACTATTTGTGATGCAAGTAAGGGTATTCGGACACGGCCACTGATTTTTGTAAGGGCTTGTCTAATAAGGCACATCTTACTTTACTTCTACTTTGGAGTGTGTGTGCTTGGCACTTACTAGTAAATGTCTGCTTGTGTTGCTTGTTTTCTTGCTGGACTCGTTAGGCTAAAAAGCCACCTCACTTTGTAGATTTAACAATCAATTATTCTCCCAGTGAGATTTCTGCTTCTGTAATAGGTGTATGATTTAGGCTACATTGTTTACTCAGTATGTCCAGGTTAATGAAGATCTTTTGGTAAGCTGCTCTCATACCCTGCTGTGGTTCTGTGGAGCTTGTATTTAGCAGAGAGAGGGAGATCCTTTGCAGTTTGGATGTTAGTTAATTATGTGTGTAGGCTGTTTCTCTGGATACATTAGCCCAGTGGAAACACATGCATAGTCTTGTGTGTTTGATTCTACTCACTCGTACACGCATTCTGAGAAGGAGGTAGACTAGAGAGGAGGTATACTAGAGAGGAGGGGGAGGAAGACTAGAGAGGAGGTATACTAGAGAGGAGGAGGAGGAGGAAGACTAGAGAGCAGCAGAGGAGGAGGTAGACTAGAGAGCAGGAGGAGGAGGAGGTAGACTAGAGAGCAGGAGGAGGAGGTAGACTAGAGGGGAGGAGGAGGAGGAGGTAGACTAGAGGGGAGGAGGAGGAGGAGGTAGACTAGAGAGCAGCAGGAGGAGGAGGTAGACTAGAGAGCAGGAGGAGGAGGTAGACTAGAGGGGGAGGAGGAGGAGGAGGTAGACTAGAGGGGAGGAGGAGGAGGAGGTAGACTAGAGAGCAGCAGGAGGAGGAGGTAGACTAGAGGGGAGGAGGAGGAGGAGGAGGAGGTAGACTAGAGAGGAGGAGGAGGAGGAGGTAGACTAGAGGGGAGGAGGAGGAGGTAGACTAGAGGGGAGGAGGAGGAGGAGGAGGAAGACTAGAGAGCAGCAGAGGAGGAGGTAGACTAGAGAGCAGGAGGAGGAGGTAGACTAGAGGGGAGGAGGAGGAGGAGGTAGACTAGAGAGCAGCAGGAGGAGGAGGTAGACTAGAGGGGAGGAGGAGGAGGTAGACTAGAGGGGAGGAGGAGGAGGAGGAGGAAGACTAGAGAGCAGCAGAGGAGGAGGTAGACTAGAGAGCAGGAGGAGGAGGTAGACTAGAGGGGAGGAGGAGGAGGAGGTAGACTAGAGAGCAGCAGGAGGAGGAGGTAGACTAGAGGGGAGGAGGAGGAGGAGGAGGTAGACTAGAGAGGAGGAGGAGGAGGAGGTAGACTAGAGGGGAGGAGGAGGAGGAGGTAGACTAGAGGGGAGGAGGAGGAGGAGGAGGAAGACTAGAGAGCAGCAGAGGAGGAGGTAGACTAGAGGGGAGGAGGAGGAGGAGGTAGACTAGAGGGGAGGAGGAGGAGGAGGTTAGACTAGAGGGGAGGAGGAGGAGGAGGTAGACTAGAGAGCAGCAGGAGGAGGAGGTAGACTAGAGGGGAGGAGGAGGAGGAGGTAGACTAGAGAGCAACAGGAGGAGGAGGTAGACTAGAGAGGAGGAGGAGGAGGAGGAGGTAGACTAGAGAGCAGGAGGTGGAAAGAGAAGGAGGAGGGATAGAGAGCAGGAGGAGGTTAGAGACTAGAGAGGAAGGAGGTAGACTAGAGAGCAGGAGGAGGAGGGGTAGACTAGAGGGGAGGAGGAGGAGGAGGTAGACTAGAGAGGGAGGAGGTAGACTAGAGAGAGGGAGGAGGAGGAGGAGGAGGTAGACTAGAGAGCAGCAGGAGGAGGAGGTATACTAGAGAGCAGCAGCAGGAGGAGGAGGTAGAGATGAGGGGAGGAGGAGGAGAGAGGTTAGATAGAGGGGAGGAGGAGGAGGAGGTAGACTAGAGGGGAGGAGGAGGAGGAGAAGGAGGAGGAGGAGGTAGGGCTAGAGGGAGGAGGAGGAGGAGGTTAGACTAGAGAGAGGAGGAGGAGGTAGACTAGAGAGCAGGAGGAGGAGGAGGTAGATAGAGAGGAGGAGGAGGAGGGACTATGAGAGCAGGAGGAGGAGGTAGACTAGAGAGGAGGAGGAGGTAGACTAGAGAGGAGGAGGAGGTAGACTAGAGAGCAGGAGGAGGAGGAGGTAGACTAGAGAGCAGGAGGAGGAGGTAGACTAGAGAGCAGGAGGAGGAGGTAGACTAGAGAGCAGGAGGAAGAAGGTAGACTAGAGAGCAGGAGGAGGAGGTAGACTAGAGAGCAGGAGGAGGAGGTAGACTAGAGAGCAGGAGGAGGAGGTAGACTAGAGAGCAGGAGGAAGAAGGTAGACTAGAGAGCAGGAGGAGGAGGTAGACTAGAGAGCAGGAGGAGGAGGTAGACTAGAGGGGAGGAGGTAGACTAGAGAGGAGGAGGAGGTAGACTAGAGAGGAGGAGGAGGTAGACTAGAGAGCAGCAGGAGGAGGAGGTAGACTAGAGAGGAGGAGGAGGAGGAGGTAGACTAGAGAGGAGGAGGAGGTAGACTAGAGAGGAGGAGGAGGAGGAGGAGGAGGTAGACTAGAGAGCAGCAGGAGGAGGAGGTATACTAGAGAGGAGGAGGAGGTAGACTAGAGAGCAGCAGCAGGAGGAGGAGGTAGACTAGAGGGGAGGAGGAGGAGGAGGTAGACTAGAGGGGAGGAGGAGGAGGAGGTAGACTAGAGGGGAGGAGGAGGAGGTAGACTAGAGAGCAGGAGGAGGAGGTAGACTAGAGGGGAGGAGGAGGAGGAGGTAGACTAGAGAGGAGGAGGAGGTAGACTAGAGAGCAGGAGGAGGAGGAGGTAGACTAGAGAGGAGGAGGAGGTAGACTAGAGAGCAGGAGGAGGAGGTAGACTAGAGAGGAGGAGGAGGTAGACTAGAGAGGAGGAGGAGGTAGACTAGAGAGCAGGAGGAGGAGGTAGACTAGAGGGGAGGAGGAGGAGGAGGTAGACTAGAGAGGAGGAGGAGGTAGACTAGAGAGCAGGAGGAGGAGGAGGTAGACTAGAGAGCAGGAAGAGGAGGAGGAGACGATCCTGGGTTAAGTGGATCTGCTGTGATCCTGGTAAACTAAACTAATGAGTGGCAGGGCTGTCCCTCTCTCCCACTGCACCCCGTTCTAGTCCTGCTCCAACCCCTTTACTCCGTCTGTCCCTACACAACCCTCTGTTAACCTGATTAGGCCTTGCCATGCAGAACACACAACGTCCCTGTTTTATGATGAGGACACTTGACAATTGACTTCCTGATAATCTCAGGGCTGCTCAGACTGTTCTTTGTGCGCTGATTCTCTACACTCTGGGTGCTTGTTTTGTCACATAAACTGAAATTAGGCAAACTATTAGAATTTTAGCAACCAGGAATTGGCGGAGCAATTTCTGCATATTGCACCTTTAACTCATCTCTATCGGCTGGCCTACCCTTCCTTGAAGACTTTGTTGCTTTTATGAGATAAAATGGAATATATTATTTAATGCCCTTTGAAATTATTTTTGTGTTACTGACCTCTGCCTTGGTCAGTGTGCAAGGCTGCCTGGCCCCAGAGATGTTTTGACTAGCTAGTTGTCGAATGCCTTGAACAATAGCTCTCACACACTCTCTGGATTCGTGTTGTCGACAACCTGATCACCACTAGCTCCACATCTTCTGTTTCTCTCAATCAACCACTGGTCAACAAGGGTCATCACCATAGCAACTACAATGACTCTTGGCAACCAGTGGAACATTTCCATGTGTTCTTCTTTTACTAAACACTGGTCATGTGTATAGCATTTTACTCCTTGCTTTTAAAATGGTTGACTTGCTTCTTCGGTGTTCAACATAACACACTAACAATGAGATGTTTATGATTAAGCCAATATCTCATTGTTGTGGATGTCCAAAAATCTTTGGCTTTGTAAATCTCATGACGTGTTTGATCTCAGCATTGGAATCCAATTCACCAGCCAAGTCTGTCTAAACCTGTCTTCTGAATCATAATCTGCCTCTTAAAGGTGGCTAGAGGAGTCTCCAAAATCTCCATTAGGGATGAATAAACCAAACTCTGGAAGTTTACATAGAAACTGCCAAAAGTAAAGTGTGTGAGATTCAAACAGAATAACTGACTCATGTTTGCTGTCCTTTTCTGCCCTTATTTTCCTTCTCTCTGTCTCCATCCTGTTATCTCCCCATCTCCTTCTGTCCCCACCCCTTTCTCTCTCTCTGTCTCAATCTGATTTCCCCATTCCTTTGTCCCACCCTTTCCCTCTCTCTGTCTCCATCCTGTTATCTCCCCATCTCCTTCTGTCCCCACCCCTTTCTATCTCTGTACATCTGTATTATCCCCTTCTCTGTCCCACCCCTTTCCATCTCGTGTCCATCTGTTATCTCCCCATCTCCCTTTCCATCCGTATCTCCCATCTCCTTCTGTCCCACCCTGTTCTCTCTCTGTCTCATCCTGATTCCCAATCTTCTGTCCCCCATTTCTCTCTCTCTGTCCATTCTGTTATCGCCCATCTCTCTGTCCACCCCTTCTTCTCTGTCTCCATCCTGTTATCTCCCCGTTTTCCTTCTGTCCCACCCCTTTTATCTTCTGTCTCCATCCTGTTATTCCCATCTCCTTCTGTCCCACCCTTTCTACTCTATGTCTCCATCTGTTATCCCCCTTCATTCTGTCCCCACCCTTTTTCCCCCTCTCTGTCTCCATCTGTTATCTCCCATCTCATTCGTCCCCACCCTTTCCCTCTCTCTGTCTCCATCTGTTATCTCCCATCTCTTCTGTCTCCATCCTGTTTTCCCATCTCCTTCTGTCCCCACCCCTTTTCTCTCTCTGTCTCCATCTGTTATCTCCCCATCTCCTTTGTCCCCACCCCTTTCTCTCTCGTCTCCATCCTGATATTCCCCATCTCCTTCTGTCCCCACCCTTTCTCTCTCTCTGTCTCCATCCTGTTATCTCCCATCTCCTTTGTCCCCACCCCTTTCTCTCTCTGTCTCCATCCTGTTATCTCCCCGTCTCCTTTGTCCCCACCCCTTTCTCTCTTCGTCTACATCTGTTATCTCCCCATCTCCTTCTGTCCCCACCCCATCTCTCTTCTGTCTCCATCCTGTTATCCCCTCTCCTCTGTCCCACCCTTTCCCTCTCTCTGTCTCCATCTGTTATCTCCCATCTCCTTCGGTCCCAACCCCTTTCCCTCTCTTGTCTCCATCATGTTATTCCCCATCTCCTTCTGTCTCATCCTGTTATCTCCCATCTCCTTCTGTCCCCACCCCTTTCTCTCTCTGTTCCATCCTGTTATCTCCCGTCTACTTATGTCCCCAACCCCTTTCTCTTTCTTGTCTCCATCTGTTATCTCCCCAATCTCCTTCTGTCCCCACCCCTTTCTCTCTCTCTGTCTCAATCCTGTTATCTCCCCTCTCCTTCTGTCCCCACCCTTTCCCTCTCTGTCTCCATCCCGTTATCTCCCCATCTCCTTCTGTCCCCAACCCCTTTCCTCTCTCTGTCTCCATCTGTTTTCTCCCCATCTCCTTCTGTTTTCCATCCTGTTATTCCCCATCTCCTTCTGTCCCCACCCCTTTCTCTCTCTCTGTCTCCATCCTGTTATCACCCCATCTCCCTTTTGTCCCCACCCTTTTCTCTCTGTCTCCATCCTGTTATCTCACCCGTCTCCTTCTGTCCCACCCCTTTCTCTCTCTCGTCTCCATCCTGTTATCTCCCCATCTCCTTCTGTCTCCATCTGTTATCTCCCCCTCTCCTTCTGTCCCACCCTTTCTCTCTCTCGTCTCCATCCCGATATCTACCCATCTCCTTCTGTCCCCACCCTTTCTCTCTCTCTGTCTCCATCCTGTTATCTCCCCATCCTTCTGTCCCCACCCCTTTCTCTCTCTGTTCAATCCTGTATATCCCCGTCTCCTTCTGTCCCACCCCTTTCTCTCTTCTGTCTCCATCTGTTATCTCCCCATCTCTTCTGTCCCACCCCTTTCTCTCTCGTTCACATCCTGTTATCTCCCCCTCTCCTTCTGTCCCCACCCCTTTCCCTCTCTCTGTCTCCATCCTGTTATCTCCCCCATCTCCTTCTGTCCCCACCCCTTTCCCTCTCTCTGTCTCCATCCTGTTATCTCCCCATCTCCTTCTGTCTCCATCCTGTTATCTCCCCATCTCCTTCTGTCCCCACCCCTTTCTCTCTCTCTGTCTCCATCCTGTTATCTCCCCATCTCCTTCTGTCCCCACCCCTTTCTCTCTCTGTCTCCATCCTGTTATCTCCCCATCTCCTTCTGTCCCCACCCCTTTTCTCTCTCTGTCTCCATCCTGTTATCTCCCCATCTCCTTCTGTCCCCACCCCTTTCTCTCTCTGTCTCCATCCTGTTATCTTCCCATCTCCTTCTGTCCCCACCCCTTTCTCTCTCTCTGTCTCCATCCTGTTATCTCCCCATCTCCTTCTGTCCCCACCCCTTTCTATCTCTCTGCAGGGGGACGTGTGTGCTCCTTCTCCCCGTGTATTGAGCAGGTGCAGAAGACATGTGAGGCGCTGGCTGATGAGGGTTTCGAGGAGATCAGCACTCTGGAGGTTCTGCTGAGGGTGCATGACGTGCGCTCCATCACACTCCCCCTGCCGGACTTTGGGTCCGACCGGCCCTTGGAGACCCCGACTGACACCCCAGTCCCTAGCAATGCTTCTGTTCTCTGTAAGACAACCACGCCGCCCAGGGACATGGCAGGGCATACTGGCTACCTTACCTTCGCCACCAAACCCTCTGTGTAGACTGACTGCTGGAGGTTGGAGTGGGCAGAGACTTCTCTAGGAGGCTATGGCTGGGGAACTCCAAAATGTCTAAATGCAGTGCTGATGACTTGGGACCTAACCTGACCCGGGTGGAAAACCTGCTCAGACTGATTTACTCTACTTTCCGTTCCTCTCCATTGCTCAGCTAAAACTCTACATTTCAGTTGACATGCTCTTGGAGAGAGACATGATTGAGAAATTGCTTCTGTTTTAGGCTATTTCCAATGTATTTCGTAGACTTTGAAAAATGTATACACACGCACCCACACATCCCTAATACACTAACAGAGGGAGGGAAGAGAGGGCTAAGTGGCATTCTATAAATAGGCTGCTGATTGCTGAGGGTCTCTACACAGGGCTGTGAAGAGCTGTCTGAGAGGTTCGCTCTTAGTCTCATGTACAATCGCTCTAATCATGCCACTGATATGTTCTTGCATCATTCAGGATTTAAATAATAGTATCTTATCCCCCATTGTTACCCCGTTTCTCTCTCTTTGGAGGACATCTTTTTTGTTGCAATTTTTACATTTGTTTTGGATTTGGATTTAATAGAATGGTGGGAGAAATTGTGTTTTGTCTCAGCTGAGGTGGATGCTGTAACAAGGCTAAATAAACACCTTACCATCCTTCCAACTGCCTCTGCTTGTGATATTTTCTTTAACTATGGTCCGCTATTCTCATCATTGCTGGATGGCCGGTGGCTCCATACCAAAAAAGGCAGAGGAATGGCAGCCGTTCCAGGCTTGGAGGAGCAGATGTTCTCCACTGCTCTCTTTCTCTTTGTGAGGGACTGTGAACCTCTCACTATTTGACTGTAGATTTAGTACATTGTCCTCACGCATGACCAATGAGTTTGTACAGGTTTGTTTCAATGTTTTCATAATGGGAGAACCTAGAGGCTATGTAACACTTAAAGGTTTGTGACACCAAAGGAGTTAACCAACCCTGTGTTAACCAACCCTGTGAACGATAAATCATTGTCAATCCAAATAAGAGAGTTGTCTCCCCTGTAGTCCGGTGTCATCAGCCTGTCCGCAGCTAGAGAGGGTCTAATCTGGAGGACAGAGGCTGGGAATAGCAGCTCTGAGCCCCTGGAAATCCCGCTCCTAATCAGCTTGTAATTTGCCCTACTGAGCTGAGCTGTGGTACTAACTAATCAGTTACGTTACCAGCTAAATTACAGATTACAGATACTTTTGAAAAACTACATTACTTCTTGGATTACTTTTAAATTCAGAAAGGATGTTTGCGAAAAAATACATTATCACTCCTTACTCTTTTCTCAATGACATTTGAAAAATGGTGCAAGTTTAAGTTAGTTCCACCTTAGCAACTCTGACCACAAGTCAGAGACCACTATGATGACACCAAATGCGTTTGATGGATCCTTTTTTTCTTCTTCTAATAGTTAAAAATAATCAGATTACGTTACTGAGTTTGGGTAATCCAAAAGTTAAGTTATTGATGACAATTTTGGACAGGTAACTAGTAACTAACGGATTACATTTGGAAAGTAACCTACCCAACCATGCACACGTCCAGAGCCGCGGGAAGTAGGGGTGCTGAGGGTTCTGCAGCCACCCTGAAAAATCTGAATAAAGAATATATATTAATACAAAGAATCAATATGCCCTGTCCCTTTCTCTGAGATTGGAATCCAGAAAGAACAAAACCCGGTCCTCAAACATTTACATCAAAAGGTGTAAAGTTATGAGCAAAGACACAAAACATCCACATCAAATTAAATATTTTTCTTGATCAAATAACATGGAAAACAACCACTTTTTGTGCAGTATTAATTTGCCATTCTTACAAACCACTTAATGTAAATGTTTATTACTGTATTGTACATAGGCTTGTCATCTAGGTTTGTACCTGTAGACTTTCCATCACCGTGAAGAAAAACACTGCACAATATAGTAATTGAGTACATTGAGACATCAAGTGGCATGTGATGATGTGGCACAGTTGGTAGAGCATGGCGCTTACAATGCTATGGTTGTGGGTTCGATTTGCCACGGGGGACCAGTATGAAAATGTAAGCACTCACTACTGTAAGTTGCTCTGGATGAGCGTATACTGAAAAGGAATGAATAGACCATTTCAGTTTTCACATAGAAATAAGTTGCATATGCACAAGCCTCTCTGCTCCGGGTTAGGACATCCCTCCCATATCAGTGACACTAAGTAACTTTTTGTCTGTCACAGCGTTTGCATCTTCAACTCAAACAATGCCAGTAGAGTCCAGTCACGTTTCTTTGTGTCACACATAGTTATCAATCTCCTGTGAACTGAGCTGCAAATTACACTGAACGAAAATATAAACGCAACATTTAACAGTTCATATAAGGAAATCAGTCAATTGAAATAAATTCATTAGGCCCTAATCTATGGATTTCACATGACTGGGAATATAGATATACAGTGCATTCAGAAAGTATTCAGACCCCTTCCCTTTTTTTCCACATTTTGTTACGTCACAGCCTTATTCTAAAAATGATTACATTATTTTTTCCCCTCATCAATCTACACACAATACCCAATAATGACGAAGCGAAAACAGGTTTTTAGACATTTTTGCTAATCTATTACAATTAAAAACAGAAATACCTTATTACATAAGTATTCAGACACTTTGCTATGAGACTCGAAATTGAGCTCAGGTGCATCCTGTTTCCATTGATCATCCTTGAGATGTTTCTACAACTTGATTGGAGTCCAACAAATTCAGGATTGTGTCGAGGCACAGATCTGGGGAAGGGTACCAAAAAATGTCTGCAGCATTGAAGGTACACAAGAACACAGTGGCCTCCATCATTCTTAAATGGAAGGCGTTTGGAACCACCAAGACTCTTCCTAGAGCTGGCCGCCCGGCCAAACTGAGCAATCGGGGGAGAAGGACCTTGGTCAGGGAGGTGACCAAGAACCTGATGGTCACTCTGACAGAGCTCCAGAGTTCCTCTGTGGAGCTGGGAGAACGTTCCAGAAGGATAACCTTCTCTGCAGCACTCCACCAATCAGGCCTTTATGGTAAAAGGCACATGACAGCCCTCTTGGAGTTTGCCAAAAGGCACCTGAAGACTCTCAGACTATGAGAAACAAGATTCTCTGGTCTGATGAAACCAAGATTGAACTCTTTGGCCTGAATGCAAAGCGTCCCGTCTGGAGGGAACCTGGCACCGTCCCTACGGTGAAGCATGGTGGTGGCAGCATCACGCTGTGGGGATGTTTTTCAGTGGCAGGGACTGGGAGAGTAGTCAGGATCGATTGAAAGATGACGGAGCAAAGTACAGAGAGATCCTTGATGAAAACCTGCTCCAGAGCGCTCAGGACCTCAGACTGGGGCGACGGTTCACCTTCCAACAGGACAACGATCCTAAGCACACAGCCAAGACAATGCAGGAGTGGCTTCGGGACAAGTCTCTGAATTTCCTTAAGTGGCCTAGCCAGAGCTCAGACTTGAACCTGATCGAACATCTCTGGAGCGACCTGAAAAAAGCTGTGCAGTGACGCTCCCTATCCAACCTGACAGAGCTTGAGAGGATCTGCAGAGAATTTTGGGAGAAACTCCCCAAATACAGGTGTGCCAAGCTTATAGCGTCATACCCAAGAAGACTCAAGGCTGTAATTGCTGCCAAAGGTGCTTCAACAAAGTACTGAGTAAAGGGTCTGAATACTTATGTAAATGTGATATTTCCGTTTGTTATTTTTAATACATTTGCAAAAATCTCTAAAAACCTGTTTTTGCGTTGTCATTATGGGGTATTGTGTGTAGATTGATGAGGGGGGAAAACAATGTAATACATTTTAGAATGAGGCTGTAACATAACAAAAATGTGGAAAAAGTCAATTGGTCTGAATACTTTCTGAATGCACTGTAAATCTGTTGATCACAGATACACTATATATACAAAAGTATGTGGGCACCCCTTCAAATTAATCAAATGAATTCAATTAATTAATTAATTAACCCGTTGACAGGTGTATAAAATCGAGCACACCGCCATGCAATCTCCATAGACAAACATTGGCAGTAGAATGGCCTTAATGAAGAGCTCAGTGATATTCAACGTGGCACCGTCATAGGATGCCACCTTTCCAACAAGTCAGTTTGTCAAATTTCTGCCCTGCTAGAGCTGCCCCGGTCAACTGTTAAGTGCTGTTATTGTGAAGTGGAAACGTCTAGGAACAACAACAGCTCATGAGCGTCATGAAATGGGTTTCCATGGCCGAGCAGCTGCACACAAGCCTAAGATCACCATGCGCAATGCCAAGCGTCGGCTGGAGTGGTGTAAAGCTCGCCGCCATTGGACTCTGGAGCAGTGGAAACGTGTTCTCTGGAGTGTTGAGTAACACTTCACCATCTGGCAGTCCGACGGACTAATCTGGGTTTGGCGGATGCCAGGACAACGCTACCTGCCCCAATGCAAGTGCCAACTGTAAAATTTGGTGGAGGAGGAATAATGGTCTGGGGCTGTTTTTCATGGTTTGGGTTAGGCCCCTTAGTTCCAGTGAAGGGAAATCTTACCATGACATTCTAGACGATTCTGTGCTTCCAACTTTCTGGCAACAGTTTGGGGAAGGCCCTTTCCTGTTTCAGCATGACAATGCCCCTGTGCACAAAGCGAGGTCCATACAGAAATAGTTTGTTGAGATCGGTGTGGAAGAACTTGACTGGCCTGCACAGAGCCCTGACCTCCAACATCTAGTGGAAAGCCTTCCCAAAAGAGTGGAGGCTGTTATAGCAGCAAAGGGGGACCAACTCCATATTAATGCCCATGATTTTGGAACGAGATGTTTGATGAGCAGGTGTCCACATACTTTTGGCCATGTAGTGTACCTTAAAAAAAAGGTAGGTGCATGGATCAGAAAACCAGTCAGTATCTGGTGTGACTACCATTTGCCTCATGCAGCGCAACACATCTCCTTTGCATAGAGTTGATCAGGCAGTTGATTGTGGCCAGCGGAATGTTGTCCCA